CTGTCCAAGGGAATTTCTGTAAGCCATCACTACCATCTCTGCACAGGGAGGACGACTCACTGGCCCACGACGCAAAAGAGAAGGCCGACCTTTTAGGCTCCCTTTTTGCGTCCAACTCGACTGTTGATGACGGGGGGAACACACCGCCGACCATCCCGCGGTGTGAGTGCTCCATGCCGGATGTGCGGTTCTCACAGCGCTCGGTTCGCAGAGCACTCCTCTCCCTTGACATCCACAAGTCGAGTGGGCCTGACGGAATCCCCCCAATTGTGCTGAGGACGTGTGCTCCGGAGTTGGCACCGGTCCTAACGCGTCTTTTCCGGTACTCCTACTCCCAAGGCGTAGTCCCGAATTCATGGAAGACAGCTTTTGTCCACCCAATCCCTAAAAAAGGCGACCGCTCAGACCCGTCCAACTATAGGCCTATCGCGATCACCTCCTTGTTCTCCAAAATAATGGAATCCATTATTAACTGCCAGCTCATCAGGTACCTTGAGGATCACCAGCTGATTAGTGACCGCCAATACGGTTTTCGTCGGGGTCGATCAGCTGGTGATCTTCTGGTCTACCTGACCCATAGATGGGCGGAGGCAGTAGAGTCCAAGGGGGAGGCGTTGGCCGTTAGTCTGGACATTGCGAAGGCCTTCGATCGGGTTTGGCACAAAGCGCTTCTTTCGAAGCTCCCTTCCTATGGGCTTCCCGAGAAATTATGCAATTGGGTCACCAGCTTTCTTGCAGATCGGAGCATCAAGGTCGTTGTAGTCGGTGCATGCTCCGACTACAAGCCTATTAACGCTGGTGTTCCACAAGGCTGCGTGCTATCACCAACGCTGTTTCTTCTGCATATCAATGATATGTTGCAAGCCGGTAGCATTCATTGCTATGCAGATGACAGCACTGGTGATGCTCTATACACCGGCCGTGCCAATATTTCTCGGGAAAACGTCACTGAGTACCGGAACAAACTTGTGTCTGAAGTCGAGTCTTTGCTGGACAAAGTCTCGGATTGGGGGCGACTAAATCTAGTCCAGTTTAATCCTCAGAAGACACAAGTTTGCGCGTTTACCGCTAAAAAGAACCCCTTTGTCGTATCTCCTCAGTTTCAAGGTACTCCCCTTGTTGCCTCAGCCAGTATCGGAATCCTCGGCGTCGACATATCGAGTAGCGTGCAGTTTCGTGGTCACTTGGAAGAGAAGGCCAAATTGGCCTCTAAAAAGCTTGGCGTGCTCAGCAGAGCGGGACAGTATTTCATGCCGGCACACCGCCTGCAACTTTACAAAGTGCAGGTTCGGCCTCACATGGAATACTGTTCCCATCTCGGGCCATGGGCTCCCCAGTGCCAGCTCCTTCCACTTGACCGCATTCAGCGCAGAGCGGCTCGAATCGTCGACGACTGAGCCCTTTCCGATCGGCTCGATTCATTGGCACTGCGAAGAGATGTTGCATCCCTTTGCATTTTCTTTCGCATCTACCATGGGGAGTGCTCTGAGGAAATGTTCGGATTAATCCCAGCCGCCAAATTTCACGAACGCACATCGCGGCAGAACTCCCGATACCATTCACATCATCTGGATGATTGGCGGTCTACCACTGTGCGATTTAGTAGATGTTTTCTTCCTCGCACGACTTCCTTGTGGAATCGATTACCATCAGCGATTTTTCCGGACCGATACGACTTAGGGACCTTCAAGAAAAGAGCGTACTCCTTTTTAAAAGGCCGGCAACGCATCTGCAATTCCCTCACTGGTGTTGCAGTTGTTCATGGGCGGCGGTAGTCACTTACCATCAGGTGAGCCGCATGCTCGTTTGCCCCCTCTCCTATAAAAAAAAAAAGAGAGTTTGCATTGCACCATTGTTCAGAAATAAGATTTTAGTGATACTATAATAACACTTGTGTATAATGTGTATAATAACACTAACAGTGATTACTATAATATTACTCATAACCACTCTTATAAGGATACAACCTCTTTTCAACACTCTTATATGCTTTTAAAAGAAGCTGCTATATTAACGCTGTAATGCTTGTGTGCTGCTTAGGACGGATGTTCACTTATTTATATTTAGTAAATACTAGCGACCCGGCCCTACTTCGACTATATTAGATCTATTATTGAGTCATTATATAAATTCAAGAAATTTAAGATAATTAAAGACTATTTTATAATAAATTTTTCTTTTTTTTTTTCAAAACAATCTTCACATTTTTGGAATTTAATATAGCCTAGATCGCTCCTGGCATTGCAATTTATATGTCCGTAAAATTTCATTAAAATCGGCTCAACTATTCCAAAGATTACTCGGACAGGCAGATGGACAGAACAGATTTTTTTTAATGGTAATTTATGTCTTGATAGCGTGCAAATAACTTAATAGAAGCCTAATTTTTTATAGGAGAGGGGACAAACGAGCATGCGGCTCACCTGATGGTAAATGACTACATCCGCCCATGAACAACTGCAACACCAGGGGAATTGCAGGTGCGTTAAGCCTATTATTTCAATGTTACAGACATACAGTTCAATTTTATTTGTGTATTGATTATTTCACACGAAGTCAAAGTTAATATTAATAGTAACACAAGTAGATTAACGTAATAATTCGATAATCCGACAATTGCGACATGCGGCGGACGCCACAAGTGTCATCTTACGGTAACCTTATATCAAATGCGACGGTGCGATGTCCGCAATCAGGGTTGTAATAATTTAAAATTTAAAATTTTGTACAGCCGACTTCAATATAAGTTAATAAGAATAACTCAAAAACTATTGGTCTGACCCTGATCAATTCATATGGGACCACACGAGAAGTACCAGCTTTCAAAAAAAAGCGAAATCGGTTCATCCAGTAAAAAGTTATTAGGTAACACACAAAACCATACAGTCGACTTTGAGTACCGTCTCCTTTTTCGAAGTCGGCAGAAAAGTGTTTACTTCAATGAAACTGAACTAGTAATGTCAATCGATCTATGTGTAACATACAAAAGTTACGTGAAGTACACTCATATTTTTCTTTATAGAATTATAGAATAAGGGTTACAAAAAATCAAGCACACATTCCAACTGATAAGTGGATGCTATGGCCCATTGATACCAACATCTACCATCGGTTAAGAATCAAAATTTAGATTATTCACCCCTGAGGCCAAAGATAAAATACAAGTAAAAAAGAGTCTCCGGTTCTTTAAATCAATGTAACGAAACTAAACTCAACCTGAATCGTAGGGACATTATAATGAAATAACTTAACAACGGAAAAACAAAGGAAAACATGTTGAAATAAAACTAGTTTTACGGATTTAGTCGCAATAAAATCCGTAAAATTACATTTATTGCCATAGGTATACATACATAGGCTGCACTAAAAGTATCGGGAATGGAATATTTCCACTGTTCCTGTCATATTAAAATCTTTTTAATTGAAAACCCCTTGGTTTTAAAAATCGAATACCATTTATTTATTTAAAAAAAGGATTCTCGGTCTTGTCACAAGGTTTTGTCAAACTTCTTTAGTCGTTGGGAAAATGGAATTGACTCGAGAAAATTCAAGAGCGATGATTTATTATGACTTTCGAAGTGGTTTAACACAAAAACAGTGTGTTGACCGGATGATTTCTGCATTTGGTGATGAAGCCCCATCCAAAACCACAATTTATCGCTGGTTTGCTGAATTTCAACGTGGACGTGTCAAGCTCAGCGATGATCCCCGTCAAGATCGAAAACGTTGATGCTGTGCGTAAGCTGATTGAGGAAGATCGACATGTGACATAGCGCGAAATTCAGGCAACTTTAGACATTGGCATGAGTCAAATACAAATAATCTTGCATGAACAATTAGGTGTAAAAAAGTTGTTTTCCCGATGGATACCGCATTCGCTCTGTGAAGAGCAAAAACCGGCTCGCGTTACTTGGTGCGTCAGAACTCTCGAAAGATTCCACACAGGATCCTCAAATGCTGTATATAACATCGTATCAGGTGACGAATCCTGGATATACGTGTACGAACCCCAAACAAAAAACCAGTCACAAGTTTGGGTGTTCGAAAATGAGTGGTGGCCACGTTTGTCTGCAAAACCGGCCATGTTACTATTCCTCTTGAGGGACAAAGAACGGTTAATGCAGAATGGTATGATAGCATTTGTTTGCCACAGGTCGTTTCTAACTCCGTAAAGAGAACTGCAACCGCCGCATCATCCTCCATCACGACAATGCGAGTTCTCACACCGCACACAGAACAAAAGAGTTTTTAGAGCAAGAAAACATAGAATTATTAGACCATCCGCCGTACAGCCCCGACCTAAGCCCTAATGATTTCTATACTTTCCCTAAAATAAAGAATAAATTGCGTGGACAGAGATTTTCATCACCTGAAGAAGCTGTGGACGCCTACAAAACGGCCATTTTGGAGACCCCAACTTCCGAATGGAATGGTTGCTTCAATGATTGGTTCCATCGTATGGAAAAATGTGTCAAATTTCGCGGAGAATACTTCGAAAAGCAATAAATACATTTTTAAATAGTAATGTTGTGTCACTTCCTTGATTCCCGAAATTTTCAGTACCGCCCTCGTATATATACTATTAGTATAAATATAAGAAATCATTATGGAAAACATATTTTTAAAAAGAATATGACTTCTTTTCATATAAATACAAATTTGGCTTAGCAAGTCGAATGCAAGATATAGAATTTCAAACTAGCCAGAGTATATTTGAAAACTGCAATTTTATAAGTATAAAACCTTGTTTTTATAGTTTAAGTCGAACAATATCAAATAGATCTTGAATTTCCCTAAGTTGACATTTACGATACCCACGGAACGAGAAAAGGTGAATGAGATTTGATTTCGGTGAGACTTAACTGTCATGGACGTGGAAGCTTTCTCTTAGAGATGCTCGTGCTCTCCCCTTGAGTAGCGACAGATGCCGTGAAATTAATTCCTACAGTAAAAAGCAAAGAAATCTTCTTACACGATAAAATATATAATTTATCACTTACTTGTATTGGTGAGCGGCGCATCGTCGCGGTTTGCCGCCGTCAGTCCCATGGCTGGACGTGCGCAAGCTTCATCACTGCAAAAGTACAAACAATTAACAAAGCAAATAACATAATTTTATAATTTTTATATTTATGGTAAAAAAAAATTATACAATTATAAAGATTGTAGTTATATTTTCGTTTGATAAACAAAAGAGTGGAGACAGTCTATTTACTTCATAATAACATTTTAAATTATATAATCAAGTTAGTTGTACTATTATTTATTCTGTTTTTTTTTTATAGGATAGGGTGACAAACGAGCACACAGTCCACCTGATGGTAAGTGGTTGTTAAGCTACTATTTGACGCTGGTATTCTGTGAGAGCGTGGTCCTTCCCCGGTCGAGCCGACCCATTCGTGCTATAACTATACTACTAATATAGCTGCAGCATGGCTCTACCACGTACAAATTCTGTTGGTTGCAATAGTGCGTGGACTACAGTAGCCACTTGCCATCAGGTGGACCGATTCGCCTGTCATTTTCAGTTTTATAAAAGAAGATAGAAGAAGAGAAAAGGTTTCCAAATGCTAGGATTTGTGCTGTGAAATGCGAAGGGGTTCAAAAAGGCCTCAACAAAAATTCTCCTGTATTTGGCATTGGTTCGTTCGGGTTTGGAATATTGTAGTCAGGTCTGGTCCCCACATTATGAGGTCCATATTAGACGAATCGAACGAATACAGAAGAGATTTCTCTGGCACCTATCCTAACAATCTAACAAAGCCAAACTGCTGCCCTCATATAAGGAACGTCTTGCCTATTTTAAACTTAATAAACTACGAGGGCGAAAATTGTTTTTGTATCAGTTGCTTTTTTATAAGATTATCAATGACCTCATTGACTGCCCTGCGTTATTGCGATCTGTCATTTTTAAATTCCCATAGAAATTGCCGTGTCGGCGTACGTTACGTTCCATTTTTACCAAAAGGTGCCAAAAGTAGCTTAGGTCACCACGCCACAATGAATCGCTTACAGAGACAGTACAACTTAATATCTAAGTCTTACAACATCGACATCTTTTCTGACAAGCCGCTGAAATTTAGACGCAAGCTCGGTCAGTTTCTCGAGTCAGTGGCGTCTGTTTGATTCAAGTATCTATACCTATTGTTTGATTTTTTAACATAAAAAATAAGGACTAAAATGTTTCAGTTTTCATTTGCTTAGTCCACATTTTCATGCCGTGGCAGCCTATAATTAAGATAACGCTTAGCTTTAGTTTCATATTCATGTGACTTTAAATTCCATGTATTAGTGTTCGTCTTGTTGGTTGTCTTTTTAAATAAAAAAAATAAAAAATATATATTGAAAGTTCGCCTGGATCTAGGTGTGAGACCATTACTTCTACAAATAATATTAATATACAGGGTTATTTTTCAAAGAGTAGCCAAATTTTATACTTATGTAAGTTCAAATATATAAATAATTATATACCGTAATTGCAGTTTTTGAGAATACGAGTACATAACGCTTCTAGTTTTTTTTTCAAACTATCCCAAGTTGAATGTGATTTATTCACGTTTTTGCCGACCGAACGACCCTTATGTATGCGTGCGTAGTAAAATAGTAGGCGTTAGATATTTATGAATGATAATCGGTTAAAATAATGCATAACCACGCATTCGGAATTTAAAAGATAAAGAGGCCAGAATGTTTGAGATTTTTTAAATTAATTCTTATTCACCATTCGCCTATATTACTTATTCCGAAGCTTCTTTGCAAATTTGGCCGTATATTGCAAAATAACCCTGTATAATGTGTCGTGTGAACTAAACTTTACTGGCGCAATTTGTTATGACCCAGATACATGTAATAGCTATTTTTTTTTTTCACAAATACTCAAATGTAGAAGGCGGTGCGCCTCAATACCGTTTCGGCCCGCATCGTCCACCGGTTTCTTTCCCTTTCTCCTTAACCCTTGACCGTTTGGTGTCCACTGCCGAGGGCTTCCATCTGGTCGAGTTTTTATTTATTTATGTATTTTTTTACAGGATAGGGTGACAAACGAGCACACAGTCCACCTGATGGTAAGTGGTTGCTGTGGCCCATAGACATCGATCCTCGTTTGCGAATCAAAATACAGATGCGTTGTCACCCGTGAGAACTAAGATGGAATGTCTCTTTTCCAGTAAAAAGGGTCTCCGGTTCTCTACACTCACCATACTAAACACAGCAGTGTTAAGCTGCTATTTGACGCTGGTATTCTCTGAGAGCGTGGTCCTTCCCCGGTCGAGCCGAACCATTCGTGCTACAACTATACTACTAATATAGCTGCAGCATGGCTCTACCACGTACAAATATTTATATAACGTATTATTTTACTATATTAACATATATTTATGTATATTTATCATATACATTTACATATTTTATACAGCCAAATCAAATGAGAAAACTACATAATAATGTCTAATTTCAAAGCACAAGCCTTGATTGAACTTATCTGTCATGCAGCTCCAGTGGCGATTTCGAAATATTATAATATTAAGTAATTCGGTACAAATTTTTTCCCTTCACTCATTATCATTAGGGCTCATCAACCACTGATGAACACAACCCTACATCATAATTACAACAGCACACTCTAAAGATAGCCCCACTTGTAATTGAAAGAGATACAAGATACGAACAGTAAGTTCAAAGTTAGCCTGTTCTAAGTGTTCGTCCCTAAATTATATGCGCATGATCGCCGAGAAGTTTTTGGCCAAAAACCAAAAAGTTTTTTGTGCGTTCATGGACTTGGAGAAGGCTTATGACAGAGTGGACAGGGATGTGTTATGGCAAACACTGAACTCATTTGGGTTGAGCGCTGGTCTGATACAGGCATTGAAGTCTCTATACAGGGACTCTAGTGCTTGTGTCAGGATCAACGGGGCCTACTCGGACTGGTTTGACATCCATAAAGGTGTCAGACAGGGCTGTGTGGCTTCCCCGTAGTTGTTCAACCTATTTATGGACAGTTGTTTGGAAAATTTGAAAGTAGAAGAATGCGGGTTAAGAATGGGTGAGTTAACCGTCAAATGCCTTTTGTACGCCGATGATCAAGTCATACTTGCGTCGTCGGCAGCCGAGTTGCAAATGATGGTTACATTAATGAACAGGACATTAAAAGAAAAGGGAATGAAAGTGAACGCAAGTAAGACGAAAGTTATGGTTTTTGAAAGAGAAGAAAGTAAAACGATATGTGAAATAAGAATAGAAGGGGAGTTGGTAGAGCAAGTAGATGAGTTTGTATATTTGGGATGTGTGTTTAGCAGGGATGGTAGATATGATAAGGATATAGAACGACGAGTGAATGCAGGAAATAGAGTGAATGGGGCTCTACACTCTATTGTGAATAGTCAGAATGTGTCCAAAAAGGCACGTATGGCAATTCACAATGCTGTGTTAGTACCTACTTTAATGTATGGTAGTGAAAGTTGGGTGTGGCAGAAGAAGCATGAGAGTAGAATAAATGCTGTAGAAATGCGGTCATTAAGGAGTATGTTAGGGAAAAAGCTGAATGACAGAGTGAGAAATTGTTTAATAAGAGAAGAGTGTGGTTTGCAAGATGATGTTGTGACCAGGATTAAGAAAGGAATGCTTCGGTGGTTTGGCCATGTAGAAAGAATGAATGAGGAAAGGGTGACAAAGCAAATTTATGTTGCAGAGGTGAACGGCATAGTCGGGAAGGCTCGCCCTAGGCGAGTTTATCGACCAAATTGGCGATATTTTAAAAATGGACCAAATCAAGAGTACCTTTAACCGACGAGCGTGTATGCGTAGGTATATGGATGTGGAGGAAGCGAGAGAGGTGTGTCAGGATCGTGCCAAATGGAAGTCCATAATCTCTGCCTACCCCTCTGGGTGACAGGCGTGAGTGTTTATGTGTGTATATCAAATATGACAAAATCACGACAAATTTATCGATTTAAAAAAATATATTAATAAGTTCAACAATCATTTATCTTTCTAATAATGTGTTTTTATATCATTTATATGTATAATATGATTGCTAGATACGATTTCATGCGATAAAACGTTGGAATCTTAATTTTTAGGCGGTAGTAGAACATACCTAGCGCTTTGCGCTTAAGGCATGCAATAAATCTATAATAACAAATAACAATAAGGATTCTACACTAGGGGCTGGTTCTGAAATACGATCTCGTGGATCGAAAACTACCTCACTATAAGTACTTGCCGAAATTTTCATCATTCATGAAAAAAAATTTCGGCATAAGTACTTGCCGAACCTCACTATAAGTACTTGCCGAAAGCCGAACTCAAAAATGACTGCGCCAATATCTACTGGGACCGGGCCGTCATCACAGACAGGATTATTCTTGCGGGTAAGTCTGATATTGTGCTGATGGACCGGACACAGTCAACGATATTTTTGGTCGACATTACAACTCCGTATGACCAAAACCTCGTGAAAGCCAAAACAGATAAGTATAACAATAAAACAAAAAAATAAAAACAATAACAAAATATGTGGATCTGACTCACGATGTGACCGACATATGGGGTGCTCTGCCGACCGAAATTATTCCTGTGGTAGTTTCTGCGAGCGGGCTAATCCCGGTCAGCCTCCGAGAGGCTGAGGCAACTGGAACTCCATGGCGGACCGCTCCGGGCTCAAATGCAAAAGGCGGTACTGCCCGATACCGCCCGCATCAACCACCGGTTTCTTACCCTTTCTACCTAACCCTCGACAGTTTGATCTCCTCTACCGAGGGCTTCCATACGGTTGGGTTTTTTATTAAAAAAAATATATAAACGTTACCTCCACACTAGGATTTTCTCCTGTATCGTGGGGGCAGGTTACGTACATAAATTTCATAAGGACAAACATCCAGACCCGAAACAATTATTTGTAGGTAGTATAAAAATACTTGTTCCGTACAGGATTTTCCCGCCCGCGTATAACTCATTGCTAAGCTACTGCGCCACGGAACCGTCCTGATTTTTATTTATATATGTATGTATTTCTTATTTACATATTTTACTTTATTGATATAGATTTATGTATATTTACCACTTTCATTTATATATTTACACAGCCCAAGGAGATGAGAAAACTATATAAATACCCCAGAATAACAATAATAAAACCACGCTGTTCATTAGAGCGTTGACGCTAGAAAGTACTTTGATAGATTGCAACGTTCCACGAAATGTTTTGTATTAGTAATTAAAATTAACTGTATTGAGGGTATGGCAATTATTTGGAAGCAACGGTGCGCGATAGGCGCATACAGGAGGAGCTAAACACGGCGGAACAGAGTAATGTAGATCCGTTCACTAATGAATTTTGTGTTCCTTCCATAATGAGAACATTAATATTAAATTGAGAAAAAAAAGGAAAAAATATTTTTCGTGGTAACTCTGATAGAAAACCATGTCAGACTTACAAGTAAGCACAGACGCCATCAAAAACATACTTGTAAAAAAAAACAAGTACCGCGCAACTCAGTTCTTGTACCGTAAAAAGTTGTGAGATCCATGTAATACCAAATCGGTTAATTTATTCAGTCCCTACTTAAGGGTCCTTCTGTCTTAAGTTATTACGTAATTAGCTAACCTAACATCTTATAGTGACCACATCAAGACTAAAAATCTTTTATATTTTAAATAAATAGATTGACGGTACTACTTGTACTTGTACTACGGTACTACTTGGTTACTGAAAATTCAGGCTTCTAGTTTTATCCACAACGAAGTAATAGGGTTCCGAATATAGCCTGAACTGCTTCGAGAAAAGGATGGTACGGTCTCCTTTTTGGAAGTCGGCAGAAAATGACTTTCAATAAGTATTATGTAATAATCAATATTGAATAAAAAATTGTTCCATTCCATTCCATTAAATTTACCTGACGCCAGCAACTATAAAGATTTCTCCGCCATTTATCGTAGGCAAGATATTATTCCGGCATTTTTTTGCACATCTATGATCCCCACGGGACGTGATACTCATAGATGGTGAAATATCTTACGTAAACATAAAGTAAGCATCTCAAGTTGCATTAAAAATAACTATGCATTAAATAAAAGAGTTAGCATGTACTCGTAATATTCCCAATTTATTTTATAGGATGAGGGTGACAAACTAGTGGGTTCTGTGGCCCATAGACATCTACATCTATCCTCGATTACGAATCAAAATGCAGATGCGTTATCACCCGTGAGGACTAAGATGGAATGCCTCGATGATAAACGCGATTATGTCGTTTATATCTTAATAACATGCAAATAACCCCCCGAGCTTAATTAGAACTGCCACATTAATTAGAATTTGCGACGTGGTAGAGCCATGCTGCAGCTATATTAATAGTATAGTTGTGGCACGAATGGTTCGGCTCGATCGGAGAAGGACCACGCTCTCACAGAATACCAGCGTAAAGTTGCAGCTCAATACTGCTGCGTTCCGTAAGGTGACTGTAGAAAACCGGAGACCCTTTTTACTGGAAAAGAGGCATTCTATCTTAGTCCTCACGGCTGCATTTCAATTCGCAAACAAAAATCGATGTAGATGTCTATAGACCACAGCAACCACTTACCATCAGGTGGAGTGTATGCTCGTTTATCACCCTTATTCTACAAAAAAAAAGCAGCCAGTTATTTTAATATTACATACAGACACTTTAATTTTATTTATAGGTTTAAAGATAGTTAACAGTAGGTAACTGTCGGAATAATTATTTCAATAATAATTTTATAATTGTAATCCACAGTGGCACAGGGTAAACTAGGTCATTGGTTTATTAATGGTTAACATACGAGTTATTGATGTCTTTTATTTTTAACTAGCGATCTCCCACGGCTTCGCACTGGACAACCCACCCAAACACACAAAAAAATTCATGAAAATCGTTCGAGCCATTTTCGATATTTTTGCGAGACTGACGGACAGCAATCGATTTTATAAAATAATCTAACAATGTTATTAAACATTACTAATATAATATAATACTTTAAATGCTTGTGTAAGGAGTGGTTTACGTCAGTGGTCGAATCGCGGATTCGATCCTCAGTCAGGCTTCGAAGCTCACCTCAGGAGACGTTCCCGGTAGCACACGACGGTGCGCCGCTCGTCGCTGAGCCCGACGGAGAATGTGGCGAGGTCGGGCCGCGCCAGGCGCTCCACGCACCGGTGGATCAGGAAGCGCCGGTAGTTGCTCACCGGCGGGAACACCAGCACGCTGACGGGAACATATGCCAGTGTGTAACGAGACTTGTTAATAACACAAATTATACACAGCGAAACTTAACGCCGTTGAAGCACTGATATTATTTTAATTTTGTTACTTTATCATTGCCATCATTGCAGCCCAACGGATTTTATTGTGCTGGGAAGATCGACGTCGAGGGTTACTATTAAAGCCACTATAAAATCACGTCTCATATATAAAATCACCCTAAGATTTAAACTGAGAAGTTTGTAAAAAAAAAGAGCTCTTAGATGCACTTAAGTAACTAAATACAGATCGTAATGTACTTCGTTTCGGAACTTTTCTTGAATATGGGAATCGAAGATTTTTACATTGAGATAATTTCAGTACCGGCGTGGATCGAATCCAACTTTCTTCCGTACTGACAAATTTACAACGAGCGCTTTATACCTTGAACTACTACGGCCCGTGATATTTTTTTTATGACGGTGATTTTTTTAAGCTTTCACCCTTAAATTTAATTACGTATAAATGGCAGTGCAAAAAAAGTATGTGAAAAATATAGACATATATGCCGCGAGTACACACAAAACCTTACGAAATCTACTACTCCTGGGATAACAATCAAAGATGTTTGGCTTTATAGAGTCTGGTCAAAAGTTTGAACTGTGCTGCTTTTATTACAGGTAAGGAATCATGTAGCCAACAAGCAAAAACAGGCAAAACATTTCAATGGTTTTATGTGTTCTGCCCAAAAAAGTCAAAAACCATCCAGAAGGGAGAATTCTAAATTGAATGTACTGTGGTGCAAAAAAATAATTTTGAGAATTGTATTGAAATCCCATTGAATATACAGAACATCCATCAAATACAGTCTGTATAAGTCTACTGCTGAATATGTGCCTCTCATATTGAAATATTTTTACACAAAATTTTAATTTTAGGTAAAGTATTGAAGTTTATTGGAAAGGTATAAAAAGAACATATAGCTACTACATATTAATATAAAATTTCCTCTATTTTAGCTTACAATCATCTGTGAACAACAGACTGATTGTGACCCCACAAATAATAATGTAATAAAAGTACTAATAAAATTAATAATAAATGGTTTTAAGAGTATAAACTACACTAATATACTTTTTCTGTCCATTGTTTATCTTTCCTATCTTGCATCATCTTTATTGCAGAATTAGCTAAATAAACAAATAAGCTTGCTATCATCATTCAAACATCTCAGCACGCCGGGATCGCTCCTCGAAGTTGCATGCAACATCAAAGGACTGTTGAACTTCTTCGAAGAGTGGCTCGAATAATTACATTATTCAGCCCACACGCAAAATATGTGCTTAGACATGGAGTTGCGGAAAACAGCCCATCATAAACTAAACTAAACTAAAGCTTGCCATCAAGTAGCGGCATATGAGAATCCTCTACCGCATGCCAACCCGTAGGGTTGTTTCAATTGAGATCATAGGCAGCAGCATCTTGATAACAACTCACAATAATGTAAACTGAAGTTCTGCACCTGCCTGTCAAGTGTGCCAAAAATCCTCCTACAAGGTCTATGGGAGAGGCCTGTGTTCAGCAGTGGACTTATAATGGGCTATAATGTGTAAAAGAATGAATAAAAATTAGACTTGCAATGAAAAGTATATTTGGTCAAACGCCAAATACAGAATATTCTGCAGACTTCCAGGCCAAATAGCCAAATATAAGGCAAAAGTATTTGGCCAGGAAAGAAATTGTTGTTTTTTCTTCAGAGCGTCTATTCTCTGAGGCTGTGATTGTGTATGAGAAGAAAAGGAGTAAACTACTGCCTGAAAATTAAGAAATATTAGTCTTTCTTTCTGCAACATTATCTTCCACTTTAATTACGATAATTCTAGTGCATAGATATTTATCTGATAGCTATATTTTAATTTTCACAATATGGAAGTTGATTATGTACCGATGACTCCTTTGATGATTATAGGAAAAATAAACTATAAAATAAATAAATATTTACATTGTACTAATTATCTGACTACAATAAAACCTCTTATTTAAGTATTCGGTATTTTATCAAATATAACCTAATAATAAACAGATTTTTATGTATATTTATTTTAGGTGGCTAACTTAGGTCTTGCTTTATTAAAAAAAACTTTTACAATTATCTTACAAATACTAATTAGTTATTACACTATCTATCTATTGCCATGTAGTGGCAGTGTAAGAATGTCTACAATCCCCAACATCCTGTGGGTGTCATAAGAGACAACAAAGGTAAACAGATCTTCTGGGTAGCGGGGTCTTACTAATAAATCAAATTAAAAAAAATTATAATTGCCAACCCGCTTGCCAAGCATTGCAACTATGGCAAATATCCCCCCTATAAGCTAATAACTTTGGGGGAGGACTATGTTCAGCAGTGGACTTAATAAGCTGAAACGGTAACAATATCTAAAACAAAAAAATTTAATCAAAGAATTAATTAAAACAACACAGAAATGAAAGTAGCATAACATTTCTATGTTAATGGAAACCTTAAAAAAAATTACTTTTATTAAAATATACAAACCCACTTCAAAGCACTAAAATTAAATAAAATAATTTCACTTTCTGAAGTTGGTGCTAAGACATAAACCTCGATTTTAGAGTGTGAAGTTATTTTACTCTTTTTAGTTCTCTAATTCTGCTTGTACTTTTTAATAATAATAATTTTAGACCCTTTGGAGTGGAATATGGAATATCAAAATATCAACTTGCCCTATAGGTATTGCCAACCTCAGGGGTGGAATTTTTTTTCTCCAATTACGTGGAAGCATCCCTGAAGACCATATACCTATACAATAATAACCTATTTATTAGTAAAATAATCGTCAAAATTGGTTCCTAGCTGACGAAGATAATGCATAGCATACAAACAAAAAAACATAATTGAATTGCAAACCAATTCCATTTATGAAGCCGGCTATAAATTCCGGTATTACCTAATTAGCTGTAAATGTTATAATGTGAAACATTTTAGCAAATTAACGGAACAACTATACGCACTATAAATTCGCAATATTATCAATAAAAAAATTAAAGATCTGACCATGGGCCCAGATCCAAAGCAATAGGTGATGCTATTTTTTCTTACGTTCATGAATCCAAGTTATCCAAGGTGCCGGAGTGTTTCGCTCCATTTGATCACATCCTACGTCCGGTAAGCGGTCGACATTATAACCTTGAAACTATACAAGAATAAATTACAATATCACGCAGACTTTAGAACGCTTTCTACGCAATTGAGCAGGATTTCACAACACACAAATATAATTGACTGACCAAGAATACAGTAATGTAATACATTTTGTTTACCTGTCAACTTTTTTCTCTGATAAAAAACATTTTAGGTCGTCGTTGACATCTTCGACGAAGCTATCGTCCGCTAAGTTCAAAAACCTCTCCACTATTTTGGCACCCAGTTTGGCGACAGATCGCTTGTTTTTATTAGAAAAATAAATACATTTAAAAGTCACGTGTAGGCGGGGAAACTATCGACAGTCCATTTTCATTATTTTTAATACGGACGGCACGGCACTAGCACCACTCCACTTGCACTTGCACAATACCGCAACGCAACGCACACAAACAAAACCACAGAGTACTTTTTTAAACAAAACATATCAATTCAGTTTAGTGACTAACAACTCGATTTACTAGTTCAAGTTAACTCGAGTTCAACTCGAACTAACTCGAGGTGGATAAACAATATAAATCGATTTCAGACTAGCAGTAATTAAACGAAATATGCGAGCAAGCGAGAGTTCAATTCGTTCATTGTGTATATATATTATATTATAATACAAATAAATTGTTTAAGAATATATAGTGAAATTTAAATTAATAATAACATAAGTACGTACGCCACAAAGTTACAGTGATATCATTTTATGAAGATTATTATAATTAACTAGATTTCTTATTAAATACAGGTACTTACTACTTCTAAGCACATCTAAGATGCAAACCAAATATATATATGGTACGATAAATAGGTTTTCTATTTCACTTCTACCTACTTACTTACTTACTTATCTTCACGCACAATCCCTGACGGGGTAGCCAGAGAGGACAGATTGCCAAATGTCACGATCCTTACATACCTCTATCGCTTCTTTCAGATTCATTATCTTCTTCATGCATGCACGTCTAGGTATCCGAGTACTCTTGACCCTCCCCTCTTCAAGCAATTTGCTCACATGGTCTTCGAAAGTTAGTCTCGGTCTACCTCGACACCTTTTAATATTAACTTTCGCGCTATATATTTTCTTCACCATTCGATCTTCGCTCAACGTGCCCAAACCATCGAAGCACGCCCTTATCAATTTTTGTGATAAGGTCATCTTCCAAACTTGCCATATTGCGAATCTCTTCGTTTCGCTTTCGGTCGGCCATGGTAACGCCGCACATTTTACAAAGAGATCGCATCTCTACTGCATTCAACTTGCTTTTATGCTTCTTCTGGCATACCCAGGTTTCGCTGCCATATAACAAAGTCGGTACCAACACTGCGTTATGTATTGCAAGGCGAGCACTCTTCACTACGCCTTGCCTTTTGACTAACGCTGTCAGACCACCATTGACGTTGTTCCCGGCAGCGACACGCCTGTCCACATCTAAATCACATCTTCCATCCCGGCTAAAAGCACTCCCCACGTATACAATTTCATTTACCTGTTCTAGACATTCCTGATTTACCCATATTTCACACTTCGTTCTCTCTTCGTCCCTTTCAAATACCAGAACCTTAGTTTTATTAGCATTCAAACGGAGACCATTAATTTCACATTCCTCTTTCATACACGTGACTAATGCCTGCAGTTCTGCTTCTGATGGTGCAATGAGCACTGCATCATCAGCATACAGCAGACAATTTACTTTAATGTCACCCAATTTCATACCCAAACAGTTATCTTTCAGCTTCCTAAGTTTAATAATAATAATTGTCACAATACATGTAACGGAGAAACAAATATATAAACAATTTGTAAAAAATTTCTTTTACTTCGTGCTGGTAATTAGCGTTGCTTAAATCGAGTTACGTAAATTTTAACTCGAGTTAACTTAAAAATAAAATTCTTCCGGGTTGACCATCTCTAATTCAATTTGTCAGCCAGAGGCGATAGAATCGATTCACAATATCGATGAAATATAATTATTATCAATGAAAGCGATTATTGAGTATTTAACCCAAAGATTTTCTAATATACTTGTTATAAATAGTTATATATATTTACCCAAAAATGAGTCGCTAGCTTTTTAGCCAGTAATTTGGAACAGGGAGTTTAGATTTATTAAGCGTGTTAAAATCTGGCATCACTTAATTTGTCAAAGACACTAAAATAGTTTCTTTTTTTTTTAATTTATTTAAGGCAACAAACAGTCATGTATAAAGATAGTAACATGGATAAATATTAATATAACTAAAGACCTATAGTGCTGCATCATTTTCAGTGATGGGTAACTAGATTATTCACAAGCCAAACATTGAAAGAGAGCGGATTTAAACTTTGATACTGATGTATTAAATAAATCAATATCTGTTAATTTTTTATTGTAGATGTTAGTGGAACGATACACAAATGATTTACGTGTATAATTTTTATGATATCATGGAGTTACAAAAAGTGGTTTTGGACGTGAGGAGCGCACTGGCAGACGGACTCTGGAGACAAATGATAATCTGCTAAGTAACAACGAGGAGTCGACTAAGTTATTAATAATTTTGTATAGAAATACTATGTCAAACATTTTACGCCTATTGCAAAAAGAAAGTAAATTGTACTTTTTTAATGAATCGGTGTATGACTGATTTAAAATATTTTGGCGATTATTTAGGGATTTAATAAACAATTTTTGAACTCTTTCTATTCTCCTAATATGAACTTCATAACAAGGGCTCCAAACAGTGCTGCGAAAATCAAGGAAAGATCTGACAAAAGAGAAGTATAAAATTTTTAGAGTTTCGAGACGTTTAAAGGGTTTACTTATTCGTAGTATAAAACCTAGATTTCTAAAAGCCAAAGCTAATATGTGAACAATGTGTGAAATAAATGATAAGGTCGAATCCATAATTATGCCTAAGTCCCTGATTGTGGATACTCTAATCAAGGCCCTCTTATTTATGTGGTAGTCGTAAGAAACTGGTTTTTTTTGCGAGTATACGATATTGTGTAGCATTTATCGCTGTTTAGGAACAGATGATTGGACTCACAGTATGCATGTAATCGGTGTAAGTCTTCTTGTAATTTGTGGCAGTCACTAATTGATCTGATAATTCGATACAACTTAGTATCATCAGCATACAAGAGATGATGACTATGCTTCAGGACATTACCAATGTCATTTATGTAGACTGAAAACAGTAAAGGTCCAATATGAGACCCTTGAGGCACACCAGAAAGCACTGGAAGAAATCGTGAGGAATAACTCTTTACAAAGACTGCTTAACTCCGATTACTTATGTAGGATTGGATCCATCTAAGGAGGCTACCATGCACACCGACCCTCGCAAGCTTCTTTATTAGCAGATCGTGATTTATTTTATCGAAAGCGTTGGAAAAGTTTCTTATTTATACAATATTGTCCTAATTGAATTGTTATGCAACAGTTAATATATTTAAATCTTTAAAATGTTATCTGAGCGAGTCCTTTGGTATAATATTGTAAAAAGCAAGTATAGCTATTTTCTGTTCTACATGTGTATTCCCACGATTATAGTCATATATAGGACATAAAAATGTGTAAATAGCTGAAAAGACTAATCTTGCTGTATTATAGACTTAGTATCTTAATCCTCTATCTATGTGATATACCCACATCTTTTAACAGTTTTGTCTTCTTTACTGCATCTATTCACAGCAGAAATAAGTCTTTCTGATAAGGCTTCAATATGAGGTCCTCATGATGGGAAATTCAATTAAACACATCAAGGGAATCTAGGGATATCTTATATTTCTTCAAACATCTAAAAATCTATGAAGAATTTTCTGATATAGTAAATGGAAGAATGATAGGTTAATTTTAGGTCTTTGATAAAAAATAAAAAATATTTCGTATTTTTTTGTTTTTAGTAAAATAATGTAGAATTTTTTAACCGCCGTAGAAAATTAGCACAATAAAAAAAGTTAATTTCTTCTTACAAACTATTAATTTTATTTAAAATTAAAAATCTTATAAAATCTAATAATAATCAGTTATGCTACCTCTTACATTAATTATACATCGATATCGATTGTTTATACCTAAAATTAAATTGTCAATGTCTTTCTGCGTTATGAAGTCCCATGTTCTTTGCAAGTGTTCGAAAAGTCGTTCCGTCGTCAAATTTGGAGGAAAATCTCTCAAAGCTTTTCGTTATAACATGTGCCAGGCATGCTCGATACGATTTAGGTTAGGCGACTGTGCAGGCCAATCTAAAACTTGAATATCGTGGTCTCGGAGCGCGGCCGACACCGGCCGCGCCATATGGGAAGGAGTGATTTTTTGTGAGCAACCGAAGTTCGATGCCCGCCGGCATTAATGAAATTGTTAATTGCAATTTTAAGTGTTGATTTACCACGTGCTCGATGGTGAAGAAAAACATCATGAGGAAATGTCTGAGAAATAATAATTTCTTGCACTAAATCCTCTCAGAAATGAAAGGAGGCCTGTGCCCAGCAGTGGGGCGTAATGTTATAGAGATATTTAACATTTGACTTTGTATTAACTGGACACAAGTAACTCATCTTTCAAAGCAACCTTTCCTATGTGTAATAAAAAGTTTGGTCACCTTGGTAGAAAGAGAGACATATACCTTTTTTTATACCCCTTGTGCGTTGTTTTGGCAGAGTACTCAGTCTTGTTGGTATGGTAAGTCCATGTAAATTGTGACTTTAACTTTAAAAGTAAATCATATCCGGGCAAATCTTTCCACAGGTAAGAGAATTCTGTTTTAGAGGAGTTAGGGTGCCTCGGTCTGTTATTATGAACTTTGTGGACTTGTTGTGGTTCATGTGGTTTATACATAGGAAAGGACTAGGCCTTGCATCTAAAAAGGAACGAAAAAATCTGATAAATTATGAATGAAGTCAAATTTAATTGCTGTTTTGTGTCATCCACAACTTGATCTAATTAAAAGTAATAAAAAAAAGTTGTAAATATTTATATTGCTAAAAAGATGGTCAAAACGAAGTTAAAAAGTTTTGTGTAATAAGCTAACCGTACATTATTATATTATGTCTACAACTGCTTGCATATTAATGAATTACCACCTTATTATTGGCACACTCTTTAAATTTAAGAAGAGATAAAATATAAATTTTATTATTTATAAATTGATAAAAAAAAGTTTATTTCAGATTTCCCAATGACGAAGAAACTAAAATGAAATGGATCCAAGCATTGCATACTATTAAAAAAATATCAAAGTGTAGTGTTGTTAGCAGTCTGCATTTCAAAAAGAAAGATTTTTTGACGAAAGCCTACAAAAAGTTAAAATAAAATATTAACTGTGCAACATTTTTATACTACAATGGACACGTTATTTAGCCCTCCATACCTTGTGAGTTCATTTGCTTGTGAAAATAGACACGATGTGGAACTTTTAAAATGTGTAGTTACTAAATATTTAACTCTTAGTATGACAACGTATGGCAAGCAAATAAATGTTGAAATCATCGGCAATCGTGCAACATTGTACTAAAATCTACAAAAAACCATATTATTTAGCAATGTGTTATCGATATTCAATCACAATTGCATTACATAATGTGTATTTCTAATCCCCACAATGACAAAAATATTTTAGTTATATGATTTAAATCTTGTAAGTGATTAACTTATCAAATTCATTAAAAAAATAACAAGAAAAGTTTTCTAAAATGCTCTTATAATAATATGCATGTTAAATAATACAGTAACCGATTTATTAAACAATACCATAACATGTTCTTTTTATTTCACAGTAATACCATTGGAATAGTTAAAAGATAAATAAAAGAAAGTTTAAAAAATTACAATGTGACTCTACAAAAGCTGCTATTCGCTATTTTGTCCGTAATTATTTAAAATTATGGGCACCCCACTTAGAAAGAGATAACGTTCCTTATTAGTACCTCTCTTTTAGAGCCGCACTTATTGCGAAGAAAAACTTCTAGTTCTAATAATAATTCTATGGAAGATACGGTGAAGTTTAACCAAAAAGCGGAATATTTAAAAAATAAGTTTTGGCGGGAACTTCGTCGCCGGTGGATTGACTTGATAAATAAAGAATTAATGGCTTGAAGTACGTAGAAGTTGTTGTACGTTTGTATATTAAATATCTAAGCATATTAACTATTAGGTGAATCGATGAAACAAATCCTACGATAATGATACAAACCTCAAGCTATTTAGTCCGCTAAAGCGCTATAAGATAATAACATTGATTAATTAATATTCAATTTAAACCCTACCAAAAACTGCTTTACAAATATCTTATAGCTATAAAAACACAAAACTAGAAACTGTTAACCCTGCTACTTTGTTAGGAATAGACCTAGATACGCATTTGAGTTGGAAACAGCACATACAAAAAATTATTAAAAAAATATCCTCTTTTATTTACGCTCTACAATACCTCAAACGTGTGACAGATTTTAAGAGCCTTTGCGGCTTACTATGCACATGCTCATTCGGTACTCTCCTATGGCATCGTATTGTGGGGAAACTCTTGTGATGTAAACAAATTATTTATATTACAAAAGAAGTGTCTACGAATATTAACGAATTTAGATCAAATGGAATCATGTAAACCTCACTTCATTTAATATAAAATACTAACACTTATGTCTATCTACATCCTCGAGTCTTGTAAATTCGTCAGGAAACACCCAAAATTGTACTCACCTATTACAATAACTAAAAGAAATAATAGAAATTCATATAAGCTTAGGATACCCTTTTCCAAACTAAAATTAGTTTCGACTAGCCCCCACGTTATGTCAATAAAGATTTATAACCATTTACCGAATTCTATAAAAATCCTAGAAAACCCTGCGCAATTTAATAAAAAATTAAAAACATTCCTTATTAATAAATGTTATTATACTTTGAAAGAATTTTTTGACGATAAATAATGACAAAGAAAGAATACTTCCACTATATTATATTTCTAATTTAAGTAATTTATATAGCATAATATTGAATGTTGACGATATGATATTTTATAATTTATGTTTAAAAGTTAGATTATACAAAAATAGTTAGTCCTCTAGTGTTGCTGTGCCCTTGCAGGGCGTCACATGTATACCTATCAAATGTAACATCTTATATTTGTAATGTGACATGCAATAAACAATTGGAATTTGAATTTGAATTGATCGACTATCCGGTGGATTAAATTGCCGTCAAAATTACTCAGAAACATCGCAATATGATGCATCAACATGTTGTGAAGAAAATCGTAAATTTAAGTGTATTTTGGAAAATGTACACAGGTACTACTGTATAACAACGTATTTCTGTATTACAACGTTAGATATATTATTTTTGGTTAAAGGCCTTGAAAAATGCAATTAGATTATACAAAATAGTTACTATAAATACAAATAGTACAAATTATTAAGCGATAGATCATTAACGTTGACGGTATTTTATCGAAACTGTAGGTTTTTATTTCGTCATTTTTTCGTCATTTATTTAATGGGACAATGGTAAGGGTCATTAAATCATTATTTATTTTAGAAATTCGGTATTTTTGTAGAACGTCAATTTAGCCGGGCAACTAGATTTAGTCTAGTGAGCAGTGCGGCTGCAATTAATTTTAGCGCATGGACGCGTGACCACCTGGACTTATACCTTAACAGAGAGGAACGCTGGCTATGGCTACTCCCCTCCGGTCCGCTGGTGGCGCGTGTTGCTCTATGTTTTTATGTTGTAAATAGTTAAGAGTAAATAAAACGTAGGGATTATATACTCTTCGTGCGTAAGTATCATAATCTACAGTAATCTGTGATCATATATTGAAGCTATATTTGTTTTGCAAAAGAGAGCCGTACGGGCGATTTATAATCTAAATTGTAAAGAGTCCCTTAGAGAAAAATTTAAAGAAATAAACATATTAACTTTGGCATCGCAATATATTTATGAAAATGTAATGTATGTACATAAAAACATAAATAGCTTTAATAAGAATAAGGATGTTCATACCTTAAACACTAGGAACAAACATAAGCTTGTAATGCCACTTACAAGACTCCACAGAATTAGTAATTCATTTATGGGGCAATGTATACGCTTTTACAACAGAATCCCAGAACATGTTCAAAGTTTGTCAATAAACAAGTTTAAAAGTTTTATTAAAGAAAAACTGTACAAAAAGGGTTATTATAATATCAAGGAATACATGAGTGAAAATAACCCCTGGGAATAAGGTGATCGCCACCATGCTGGTTCTATGAAAATTCATTTAAAATTGTATAATCAAAATTATTGTTAAGTGAAATTATGTTTAAAAAAAAAAGTCCCGCTGGGTTTCTTGCTGGTTCTTCCCAGGACAGAGGTATTTTCCGAACCAGTGGTAAATAAAATAATGACTTTCAATAAGTATTATGTAATAATCCATATTGAATAAAAATCATTCTATTCTATTCTATTCTATTCTATAGTCTATGCTTAATATATTATCTGTGCTGCTGTGCTGTCAAGTCAAACTGTCACGGTTGAAGTTTGCTGACTGTATTGGCATTTATTAGCACTTTGTGTTCAATTTTTTGTTTTGTCTTATTTTTAATTTCTTATCTCATAATGAAAACATATTAGTTAAATTAGGATGACAATGGAAAGGAGGATAAAGTTAAAAACACTTAATAGTCACATTACATGTAAAATTTGCCGTGGGTACTTTATCGACGCGACAACGGTCACAGAGTGTCTCCATACATGTTAGTATTTTTTTATTCGTTTATTTTAAAAAGACGTGAGTTAATTATTACAATTATACCAATTATAAGGTTTTGTAAAAATAAATTACTTCTGTCAATATTCAGTTCTTCTAAGGTATAATTATTATTGAAATTCGGCAGGCTATTCAGTCCAACGTTACCTTGATGAAATACGAATAAAAATGAAAATGTATTTCTAAAATTTAATTGAGCTGTGTAAAAGCTGGAAATATGAGTAATTTCTTTATTAATGGGAAACTTACTTATCCTAGACCCTTTATATACCTATTAACCTCTTACATAGACTGACCAACTTTAGATTAACTACTCAAAATCAGTTCTCAAATGACTATTTTTAGAAAAGGAAAGAGCTATTTTTTCGATACATGTACAAACTTTCAATACTTTTTATTCAATAATATTGCTCATTTGACATGTTGTATTTTGTTTGAGCTAGTTGTGTTGGGGATTTATAAACTTTAAACATTTTTTTAAAACTCTGTTTTCTTATAAGTAAAGTCCATTAAATTATTTCATGTAATATTGATTTATAAATATTTCAAAGTCCATGTGCAAAAGAGGTTGGCATTTAGAGTATAAGTTGTTATTAATACACCCAGTTTATCTTGTTTAAAGTTTAAAGTGATTTTTGGCTAGCTTAAAGGTGGTAACATGGTAGTTTTTATATGTGGTAGAGCCATGCTACAGCAATATTAGTAGTTAGTTGTAGCACGAATGGGTGGGCTCTACTGGGGAAGGACCACGCATTTCACAAAATAGCAGCTTAATACTGCTGTGTTCTGTATGGTGAGTGTAGAGAACAGGAGACCCATTTTACTGGAAAAGAGGCATTCCATCTTAGTTCTCACAAGTGACAACGCATCTGCAATTTGATTCTTTATTGAGATTAAATGTCTATGGGTCACAGCAACCACTTACCATCAGGTGGACTGTGTGCTCGTTTGTTACCCAATCCTATTAAAAAAAAGTCAAAATGTCAATGTAATATAGTAAACTTTCTGAATTTACTGTAAGAAATGCTATACTGACTTTACTAAAAAGCCGGATACTTGCTATTATTAGGAAAAGTTTGTAAAGCATTATGATTACAATATCTACAGCAGTACACTGTTCTAAGCTTCAAGTGAAATTTGTTGTTTTTTGCAGTTTGCAAGAGTTGTCTGGTTAAACACTTGGAAGAGAATAACACATGTCCAACATGCAACATTGTGATCCATCAGTCTCATCCCCTCCAGTACATAAGCTTTGATAGGACAATGCAGGATATTGTTTATAAATTAGTGCCCGATTTACAGGACAGTGAGTATTATTCTTTCATTATACATTTAAGAGATGAAAAGATATTTTCCAAGCTGCTTCAAAACAGAAATTATGATTTTAAAATAATTTACCTAAAAATGAATTTGGTGTATTTAAAACCTTTGGTTGAACGAAACATTTCATTACATCCTACAAAATTCCACTGCTCAAAATAGGTGGGAGGCCCATAAACGGTCTCATAGGAGGAATTGGCTTTATTGCCACACTTGACAGGCAGGTCGGTAATTGTAGTTTTTGTATAATTATGGGCTGTTATAAAGAAGATGATGCTGCTGATCTCCTGTTTCAGTTTCCCTCTGTCACCTATTATTATGTACATACTATATACATGGGTGTCATGGGACGACATACTCTTGCACGCTCACATGCACACTTACTCTACCACATTGTTAACTAAGTTGTACCACCTCTGTAATCCATTAGATCACAACCACATCTGTTATGTAATAGAGTGTAGGCAGAGTTCAAAGAGCAACAAACTGTCCAAGTTCGTCCAACATAAACATGGGACCTTTTAACAAAAAATAATGAGCCAACTGTGTTACTTGTCTAGCATGTTGTAAAAGGTGAACAGTATGATATTTAAATAGCAGTTTAATTCTGCTGTGTTTTGTATGATGAGTGTAGAGAAGCAGAGACCCTTTTTACTGGAAAAGAGGCATTCCATCTTATTTCTCACAGCTGACAACGCATTTGCATTTTGATTTGTGAATGAGGTTACATGTAGATGTCTATGGGTCACAGCAACCACTTACCATCAGGACTGTGTACTCGCTTGTCACCCTTATCCTATAAAAAAAATAGGTTAGCCACTTACAAATTCTTTTACAATTTTGCATTAATACCCAATTTTTAAGGCCTGACATAGTCTGAGTAGTATTAACCAATTTTTAATAAAATTTAGTAGCAATTATTATTGCAATCTATTTATTGTAGACAAGGGGGTGATATAAATACTTTTTAAAAACTGTGGTAAAAGGTGCCTATGGGATATTGCAAGATAATATGGCTTTCAATAAATAGAGGGACACAATAGATAACAAGCGTGTTTAAAACAGGCGTAAAATATCCAAGACTGGTAATAATAGGAAGCTATATCTAAGATGTGCAACATACAAACATTTTAAGGCAAACCCTCCCTACATTGAGAGGGGCCTATGTCCAGCAGAAAACTTTTACAGGCTGATGAAAAAGAAGGATATAAACTATGATGGCAATTTCTTCAAGCATAATATGTGATTTATTTCCAGATGAAATAAAACGCGAGAGAGATTTTTATCGTGCTCGTGGTCTACCATGTCCCAAAGATGCGGCTCTTGCTGCTGACAAACCTGGAGCAGGAGATGAACCTGATCAGCCAGACAACACTGACTGTCATAGAAAGGATGAACAGGTTAGTATAACCAGTCATATTTTTCCAATATAAATATACTATGCTGTTTGATGCAAGTTTACGTTAACTAACATTCTATTTCAATGATTATTTATATTTAAAGTGGTCACCTTATCGTGTAGTGGCGGTGTAAGTGTATCCACTACCCCATATCATCCCATGGGTGTCGTAAGAGGCGATAGAGGGAAACAAATCAGGAGATGAGCAGCAACTTCCTAATAATAATGAATAATAAGAAACAGCGGTTGCCAACCAGCATGCCCAGTGTGGCAACTATGGCAAATATTCCCCTATGAGGCAATCTATGGGGGAAGACTATGTTAAGGAGTAAACTTAAATAGGCTGTAATGGTAAAGCGTTCACCACAAATTTTCTTAGAGATTGCTGACTCTCGAAACACTTGATGATATGATGAAATTATGGTATCTACTCCAAACCCAAACTTTCTTTTCCATTCTTAATTGCAACATGCTAGATAGGCTGCGTGCGAAATTTGACACATTTTTCCATATGATGGAAGCAACCATTCCATTCGGAAGTTGGGGTCTCTAAAATGGCCATTTTGTAGGCGTCCAGAGCTTCTTCAGGTGATGAAAATCTCTGTCCACGCAATTTATTCTTTATTTAAGGGAAAGTATAGAAATTATTAGGGCTTAGGTCGTGGCTGTACGGCGGATGGTCTAATAATTCTATGTTTTCTTGCTCTAAAAACTCTTTTGTTCTGTGTACGGTGTGAGAACTCGCATTGTCGTGATAGAGGATGATGTGGCGGTTGCAGTTCTCTTTACGGAGTTCAGAAACGACCTATGGTAAACAAATGCTAGCATACCATTCTGCATTAATCGTTCTTTGTCCCTCAAGAGGAATAGTCGTAACATGGCCGGTTTTGGAGACAAACGTGGCCACCATTTTTTTTTGCAACACTCCGTGAACGAACAATTTTTGTTGGCTTTAACTAATTTTCGAACACCCAAACTCGTGACTGGTTTTTTGTTTCGGGTTCGTACGCGTATATCCAGGATTCATCACCTGATACGATGTTGTATACAGCATTTGAGGATCCTGCGTGGAATCTTTCGAGAGTTCTGATGCACCAAGTAACGCGAGCCGCGTTTTGCTCTTCACAGAGCGAATGCGGTATCCATCGGGAAACCAACTTTTTTACACCTAATTGTTCATGCAAGATTATTTGTATTTGACTCATGCCAATGTCTAAAGTTGCCTGAATTTCGCGGTATGTCACATGTCACACTTCCTCAATCAGCTTACGCACAGCATCAACGTTTACTTGGGTGGCTGCAGTGTCGATCTTGACGGGGATCATCACTGAGCTTGATACGTCCACGTTGAAATTCAGCAAACCAGCGATAAATTGTGGTTTTGGATGGAGCTTCATCACCAAATGCAGAAATCATCCGGTCAACACAGTTTTTGTGTTAAACCACTTCGAAAGTCATAATAAATCATCGCTCTTGAATTTTCTCGAGTCAAATCCATTTTCTCAACAACTAAACAAGTTTGACAAAACCTTGTGACAAGACCGAGAATCTTTTTTTAAATAAATAAATGGTATTCGATTTTTAAAACCAAGGAGTTTTCAATTAAAAAAAATTTAATATGACAGGAACAGTGGAAATATTCCATTCCCGTTACTTTTAGTGCAGTCCTCGTAATGTTGTGTCACTTCCTTGATTCCCGAAATTTTCAGTGCCGCCTTCGTATTAACTCTACTAACCTCTGTAATCCTCTATCTGTAATCCTCTCCTAATCCTCTCTAACTTTTAATTGAAATAAATTTTATAGCATTTTTCTGCCAACTTCAAAAAGGAGGACAGTACTCAATTCGACTGTATGTTTTTTTTAATGTGTGTTACCTTATAACATTTTTCTGGGTGAACCAATTTCGATGATTATTTTTTTATTTGAAAGCTAGTGCTTCTCATGTGGTCCCATATAAATTTTATCAAGGTCTGACTAATAGTTTTTGAGTTATTCTTAATAATTTATATTGAAGTTGGTTGTACAAATTTTTTAATTTAATTATTGTTAAGCAAAAGAGTAAACTAGTCAGCAAATGGAAAATTAATAGTAAGGGCAGACTAAGTAGCACACACTCAGTTTCATTTCAATTGATCCTGAGGCAATAGAGAATATTGTGTAAAATTGATTTATGAGAATTCACTTTTGTTTCTCTAGTATTGTCATAGTAATGTGGTTGCTTAATTTTTTTTTTTTTTGGTTGTCTTACCCCCGGTCCAGCCGACCCATTCGTGCTACAACCATAATATAGCTGCAGCATGGCTCTACCGCGTAAGATTGACTTGAAAATTTTACTTGTATGTCATTACTTTGACATTGTAAAATTGGACATACCAAATTCTTCAGATAGATAATGATTAACAATCTTGTATATGCAAGATGTAATACATAGATATCTTTTGCTGCTACCTTGCTAACAAAGAGTAGTTGGCAATACAGCAGTACTTGCGAGCTGATAAAAAGGAGTAAATGTGGCATCATATACACATTTCTTTCTTATGTATGCATGTAAACACATTCATATTTGATGTCAAGAAGTTGTCTTTTTGTCTAATTTGCATATAGGCTATGTCATTATCAAACAGATATAATGCTACCGAAATTGAAAAATTGGCCTAAGTAATCAAAATGCTATCTTTTTAACCGACTTCAAAAAAAGGACAAGGTACTCAATTCGCCTGTATTTTTTTTTAAGTGTGTTACCTCAGTACTTTTTTTAGGTAAACCGATTTTGATGATTCTTTTTTTATTTGTAAGCGTGGTCCTAAATAAATTTGATCAAGATCTGACCAGCAGTTTTTGAGTTATTCTTAATAATGCGTCTTTAATCGACTTCTACTTCATTGACAATGTTCTCATTTTATTTAAATTAAAATATATCTCCACCTGTTGGTAAATGATTGCTGTGGCAGATAGACATCTATATCTATCCTTGATGATTAATCCAAATGCAGATTGTCATCCTTGAGGACTAAGATGGAATGCCTTGTTAAATTATATTAATTCATTCTTTAATATGTATCACAAAATATATATTTTATTCTATCATATTTAGTAAAACCCTCTCACAAATAAGTTTTGTTAGTTTTTTAAATTTTCTATTGTATTAGGAAGTGCATATTTATTTTTAAGTTAGTTATAACAACCAATAATTTCCAGGTTAATGTCTGCTTGGAGTGCATATCCACGTCATTACGTACCCTAAAGCGCAGTTTTATAAGGTGTTCTGCGCAAGCCACAATAACACATCTCAAGAAATTTGTAGCTAAGAAAGTATTGAATGGAATGGAGAAGTATAGAGAAGTAAGTATTTTAAAGTATCCATTGTATTTTTTTGCAATTATAACTTGAATGAGAGCGATATAGAACCATTTTTATACTTTATAGCAGTTATGACTTACATCAATATAATAATGACATGGGACTCCTTAAGTGTACATGTAAACATGAATGTATTGAATAAAACTACTTTAACAGATTTTATTGTGTTGAATTGAACTTATTTTTAGTTTCCAACGTTTCGAGTACTTTCCAACACCCATGGTCACTGGGGACTGAGGTGATTGACGTTCCGATTTCAAAGTTAACCTGGAGTAAAATTAAAATAACTGTAGGTGCTCCGGGTTAACTCTGACATCGGGACGTCAATCACCTGAGTCCACCGTGACCATGGGTGCTGGAAAACACCTGAAACACCAGAAATTAAAAATAATAAGTACAATTAAACGCGATAAAATCCGTAAAATAGTTTTATCCAATGTGTAGTGTTTGCGAAAATATAAGAAATCATAACATGAAGATACCTATAGATAGTTCAGATAATGAAAAATCACCCTTTTGTCAATGAAAATATGCAAGCAGTATCAGCAATACTCCATTCATAATTGGCCTATAAAAGTGCACTGTATGCCATCCCGTAAAATTTTTTGCCATTATTACCTAACGGGTGATAAGTGGATTTTATTCAGTTTATAGATCTGTGGGGGTGAGTATAGATTTACCCTCTTTGTAAAAAATATGTATTTTAAGTTGCTTATATTATATATAGTTCTATCACATACTAGTTAGACTTGTACTTATAAAATATCGCCTTTTATACATCCCAAACCTGGACACACTTTAGAGAAAGAAAGAATGCATGTTGATGGATTTCACATATCGTCAAAATTTGTATCTATTTCAAGAAATGATGCTAGCTGGGTTTTTTTTTTAAAAGGAAAAATTTATTGAATATGTTCAGCCATGTATTTAAATAGGCTAAAGAAAATGAACATTACTTCTTATAAAAATTACTGCTGTGTGCCTAGTGCGAGTTTTTTTACGCGCTCGATAGCGAGAAAGTTAACTACAATTTGTATGGAATAAAATCAGCGCCAACTAGTGGCAATAATCGGAATCACAGTTCATGAGTGCGAGTTTATTACGTCGTCGATATCGACCATCGAGCTGCTCGATCGATCGATTCGAGCATTCACTCGCATTCGACAGCGAGAACGTAAACGCACGTGATTGGTTGTTTCAAGAATTTTGCGAGTGCGAGTTCCAATTTTGATAAAGTTTACGCGGTCGATATCGAAAAAGTTTTCACCTACATTTTGACAGTGAGAAAGCATAGTGAGAACGATTGTTGAAGGTTTAATTTTATTTCGGTTTGTGTGAACAATATTTAATTATGGCAGGACGTTTTTTTTCGCATGGAGGATGTTTACAGCCGCTAAGGCACAAGATGAGCGCAATTATAAAGCCAATGTTGAAAGAAGAACTCGTGCATCTTTGAACCCTTTGTTACACCTCACGGGGAGGCACTTTAAAGATAGATATCGCATTTCCAAGAAAGTCTTCAAGTTTTTGTGTAAAGAGCTAAGGAGTTTGACAAATCTTAGGTCCTCTCAACGCGTTTCCTTGGAACATAAAGTATGTATCGATCATTAAAGTATTCACATTTTTGCAACTCAAGTTTAAAACAAGTGCAAGTTTAAATATAAGTTTGTTCTCTTTTTAATTGCAGGTGCTCACTGCTCTATTCTTTTTTGCAACTGGATCCTACCAAATGCCAGTTGGGGTTACAAAGCACACGTCTCAAATAATGTGTAGTGTGTACATAGAAGAAGTTACCCAGCGCTGACACACAAAAATATAATAAATAAATATATTCGGTTCCCTGATACTCCAGCTGCTAGACAAGCAGTTAGTCAACGATAATAAATATATGCTTATTTTTAAACAACCTAATGCAAATTAATCATTAGATTCAGTTAATATTTATTTTAAAATTCAGTTTTTACAGAAAATATGAAATCCCTGGAGTGGTAGGTTGTATTGATGGAAGTCATTTTAAAATAGTTGCCCCACCAAAAGAAGAGGAACATTTGTATTATAGTTGTAAGCACTACCATTCACTTAATGTTCAAATGGTAAATATTAAGTTTTTTTATCTTTCCTTGGTTAAAAAGGTGTAGAAAATAAACAAAATGTCTTCTTTTCAGGTATGTGATGATGAATATAGAATTTTAAATGTGAATTCCAAGTTTGGAGGTGCTAATCATGATTCCTTTATATGGGAAAACAGTAATTTAAACACATACATGCAATCTTTGCACCAAAATGGAGAAATTGTCTGGCTTTTAGGTAATATATCCACAGTATAACTTATTGGGATGTTTTGAGTTATATGAAGTATTTTTAAGTAAAACATTACTAAATAATTTCTATCTATATTATTGACAATAACATGTATATTTTAACTCTAGGAGATTCTGGATATCCCCAACGCCCATGGCTTATGACACCATTTTTAGACACCGAGTCCAATAATTATAATGAAAAACACATGAGAGCTCAAGTTGTTATTGAGAACACATTTTCAAGGCTGAAAAATCGATGACGATGTCTGCACAAGGATAGAGTTTTGCACTACAAGCCCGTAAAATGTGCACACATTATTTTAGCATGCTCTGTGTTACATAATATAATTATTAATTTTGGTGTTGAGGATACAGAGGAAAATATAGGTAGGTATCTTAATTTTAAATTGAATTACTATAATATATTAAGCTAACTTATAAACAGTAAACTTATTAATTATGATTTATTTTTAGGTCTGCAATTTGAAAGAATGGTGGAATCTGATCAAATAAGTTACACAGAAAGAGAACCTACCTCTGATTTAATTCAAGGTAGAATATTAAGAGATCAATTAGCAAGAAGGTTACTATAGGGATTAAATAAATAAATTTGAATAAGCTTAAATCTTTCTTTTATTTATAACCAGCCTTAAATTTTATCACAAATTTAATTAAATAATTACAATTACAACTTAATACAATAATTTAATAATTACAAGAACATTGAAACAGAACAGAAAAGTAATCTAAATTATTTTGTAGAGCCATGCTACAGCTATAATAGTAGTAGTAGTAGTAGTTGTAGCACGAATAGGTCGGCTCGACCGGGGAAGGACCACGCTCTCACAGAATACCAGCGTAAAATAGCAGCCTAACACTGCTGTGTTTCATATGGTGAGTGTAGAGAACCGGAGTCCCTTGTGCTGCCTGCTCTGTGTGTGCTGGCCTCACTCGTCTTCGAGGTGATCCTCGAGTATGAATTGGTCTTGCACGGCAAGGTGTAGTTTGCCCCGACAAAGCAGGCCCTGGTTGACTTTCTTGGCAACATGAGGTTGTGTTGATTGCCCTGGGTCGTTCCAAGATTGAGAACCTTAAATATGAAAAATATAAATGAAACTTTCAACAAAATCAATATACCTAGTAGTTGTGTACAAGAACCAAAAAGACAAACAAGTTGGCTTTTTTTTTGAAGCAAATACATACATAAACACTCACGCCTGTCACCCAGAGGGGTAGGCAGAGACTACGGACTTCAATGTTTCATAGAATTAGAGAACCAAAACCCAGTTTAAACCAAAATATATAAAAATAAATAATCATTTAGACGTACCTTCTTCCATTTCTCAGTACTTTTTGTATCACCACTACCATCACTATTCAAAAATTGAGCTAATTCCTCCCAGTTTTTTATATAAGCCATCCTACCTCTTGCATTATTGGATGGTTTGCTGAGATCTCCATGCCTAAAACCAATAAACTTAGTTACAAAATATACAACAACATATTAATATGTTCCCTAAACACTAAATAAATTAAATTCAATTTACTGCTCCATAATTGTCACCATCAAATCGAATTGGGACGAACTAGTCTTCATATTTTTTTACTTATAATTATGATTTAATATTTTCAATAATCGTAACTTCACAACAAACAAACTGTCAAAGTATATGAAAGATGCTATAATAACCACAACTTTGATAGACAGCTTCTAATATTAAGACGACTAAGTAACTATGTCATCCTAAACTTGGTTAGTTTATTTCACGACGCTAACGTGTTACCAACATAAGAGAAGGAACGAACGCGATTCACGGTGAGTAAACGCGAATCGAAAGGTTAGCTTCGATTGTAACACACACTCGCTTGTCTTCACTTGTCGATAGGTATGGCGTTAACTCGGTTAACGCGATGGTGAAGTCATTCGAATTATTTTGTGGAACTCGCACTAGGCACACTGAACATTCCCCATTGATTGCCTCGTAGGGTGGATATTTGCCACAGTTATCACGCTAGGCAGGCGGGATGGCAACAGTAGCTTTTTATGTTTTAGGTGTTATTAGGAAGACCCAATTCCTGGTTTGGTCTCTCACGACACCCAGAGGACAATGTGGTGTAGTAGATAATAATATTCTTTCACTGCAACTACATAGTAAAATATATACTTACAGTGTGTATATTTTGTTTTATTCCAGATTGACATTCTATGCAATGACGAATTACTAGGAAAGGACCATACATTAAAATTTGTATACGTCACACGTTGGCGATTCCGCGACCCACCGCTACGGTTGCAGTATAGGCCTAAGATTGACTTGTGAATTTCTACTAGGATTAATTTATGTTAGGTTTTAATGCGATCTTAATTATTGAAGTGGAATTGCATTGTTTCATAGTTTCAGGTTATTTAAAAGCAATTCTTGATGCTTAAATTCAATCACAAAAAAGAAAATGAGTCATACATTTAATGTATGACATTCAGCATGTGTTTGATAAGTCAATGGAACACAAAATAATTTGTATATAAAAAGTTAAAATATTTAAACTCAAAAACGTTGTCATGTACAATTTTTATATGTGACAAACGAGCTTAGTCCACTTAATGGTAAACTGCCTCCTCGATACAGTAGAAATCCTAGTGCAGGGAAAACGTTAATTAAGTAAAAAAAAAATTATGGATATAAGGAATTTAAATGTTACCATTCTTGATATACTGTCTTAAAAGTATTGTTACTTTGGATTATGAACATTTTTTACTGCTACTATCCACAAGGTTTTTTCTTGTATTAGCAGAATTCTTATCAGAATATTAAAGAATAAAGAAGCCGTGGTAGCTCAGATGGTTAGCGCTCGCTGTAAGTTTCATAGTATGCGAGCAACTCGGGTTCGATCCCCGCCGGCACCAATGAAATTGTTAATTGCAATTTTAAGTGCTGATTCACCACGTGCTCGGCGGTGAAGGAAAACATCGTGAGGAAACCTGCATGTCTTGAGAAATAAGAAAAAAAATATTTCGAAGACATGTGAAGTTCGCCAACACGCATTGGGGCAGCGCGGCGGACATTTCCTTGCCCTAAAACCCTCTTAGAAATGAGATGAGGCCTGTGCCCGGCAGTGGGACGTGAATAGGATGCATCTTTACTTTACTCTTTTTTAAAGAACCTTTAGTAATATATTATAGAAATAAATGATGTAATTAAGATCGCTTTAATACCTTTTAAGTGGGTATTGAATACCCTTAACAAGGATACCATTTTTTATTAATAGTGAATTTTCACCACAGATGATAAAAGAATTTTTATACATTTAGAAAATAAAAAAAACCCTTGTTATATCTGAAGAATATATAGATTTTGTTTATTATGAAAACTTTAGTTTCAAATCGTCATTGTTAGAGCATTTTTATGCTTGATGGCAATTTTTTTTTATTACAGCGTGTATTATTTTTTGTTTAATTCTGGTTAGACGAATTTTGTTAATTTTGTTTTAGTAGACCATTTTGTTAATTATTTGAAGTGATATAATATGTGAATTTCCCTCAATCCACTATATTCTTGAAGTTCATATTTGGAAGAGATTAGTTAATTTACATTAATGTATAATTTGGTAAAACATATGCTTATGTAAAGATTATTTAAAAATTAAATATTTTGTAAAATATATTATTTTAAAACTGAGTGTCTTAGTTTATTAATTAGTGACTTGTGCCAGCTTTGCACATTTACTAATGTCCTTTTTTTACAACTTGATTACGAATATCCTCTATATACATAATATATGTATACACATAAACCTTCAGCGAGAACGTTTCAAATGGTCTTGAAAACCGTAAAAAAGCAAATATGAAGATGGTTGCAGATAGGTTTTAAATTATTTAGTTCATAGACCTATAAAACATCTTTGGTTCATAGCATTGAATTGGTTTAAAATTATTAAGTTTCATTATTATATTTAAATAAATTATTAACCGATACGTTCCGGCACCGATTTTCGACAACTTTTAGCTGTGGCGGCGAACAAATATTTCATGACACGCCTATTGTGCCATCAGCCATGTTCTTTTTTATGCCTTTTTCACTTGTTTAGACCTAATTAAGTTTATTTGTCATCAAACATCAGTTACAAACGGAAGGATACTTGTTTTTAGTGGATAACTACGTGTTTTCTTTGAAATTGAGAGTAAGTGACTTTTTTATGCAGAGATTACAAACGTTTTGTACTATTTTTTGTTTTATAAAAAAAATCATTTATATAAATAGGTACAGCTAAATCACCCTGGAAAACCTAGGTTTTTATTAAATTAAATTTTCACCTAATAATAACATTTGTAAATATCAAACAATCAAGAACCTTAATTTGGAAAAAATAAGGTTTATGATTCATTGATATTTACAAATGTTGAATATTATTTAATGTTATACAAATGTAAAAGTAAAGTCGATCTGAAAACGTCTACTCAGTAAGAAGAGCAATACTATAATAATAATAGCAGAATAAGTGTTTTCAAAAGGAAAAAAACGCCGGCGCTATACGGCGGCGAATTGACAAAAGACTATTTATTAGCGAACTTTTTTTATGCATGAACGGTTTCGAACAGTTTCAAACAAAAATAAACCTTATACCATATCACAAGAGCACATGGTACTTCGTAGGTCTATTCGGCCATATGATAGTCATAAGACGGCAGTTCAACCATTTTAACCCTTAACTTGGCAGAGTGCATCAGTGGATACACTGCTCTTTAAAAAAATATTGTAGGAAAACTAAACGAATTTTGACATAGTTTTTCTTGTAATAAGTTAGTTTATGAACTATGATATTTAGTAGGATTTATAGTTTTATTGCTGGTAACACTGAACTGTCAGTAGCCCGCAAGATGGTAGACCGTAAGCAGGCGTCTACGCACAAGCCGGTAAGTATTATGTATTTTGTTACTTTTTTATGCATTTTTCATTATTATTTGAAGTGAAAGTAAATGCAGTAATACTATATTATTCCTGGATGTAGTTTTTTGATACCAAAACTTTATATATTCCATTTTACAACTCAGTTTGTCCATATGTATCTCTGAGTATAAACTGCCAGCTGCGCAAGAAACTAGTGCTACTTTGACATGTATGTATGTCTATGCAAAAAAAGATAATTGTTGATTTTTTGTATTCCTAATCAACACATTTAAATAAATTTAAAAAATAATTATTTGTGTAACACTTGTACAGTAACTGTAGTAGATAGAAATATATTTTTTTTATAATTATGTATGCTTTGGTACAAATGCTCATACATATTTAAGATAAGCTGTACGATAATAAATGTTTCTTTCCAGATTTCACAACAAAAGCTTCAACAACAACTAAACATAGCCCGCAGAATTCTATCCCTAGTTCCAAAATCTGTAGCTAGATCAGATGTAGGTAGCAGAGATGATTCAGCTGATGAGTTATATAAGTATATCCCTCCAACTCTTTCCGACAGTAGCTCTCCAGCTCCATCTTTGCCATCGTCTTTGTTGGATCTAAACCTATTATCGGATAGCAATAAAGAGATAGATGAAATAACGCACAATTCTCCAGCTTTGCAACTGTACTCATCGCCTGCAAGTAATACTTGCGCTTTGCCATCAATTTTGTAACCAAGGCAATCATCATCAATTTTACTGTTACAAGCTGCTGAAATTAGTTCACCAAAGCTAGGGTGTTTTGGGCATTGTATATGACTTTGCTATATGGAGGGGAAGATACATTCCAGTTCACTTTGTTTACCGAAGAAGAAGAAAGCATTGGATTATGTGCAAAAGTCGTCATAGCTCTAGCCAAATCCATTTGCCAGCCTGCTTGTAAAATCTTGTGCTTTGACAACTTCTTTATCTAAATTGAATTGATGCACCGACTGAGAAATGGATACGGTATTTTTAGAACTGTTAGATTCAACCGACTTCGTGGAGCACCGGAGAAACTTCCTACTGATAAAAAAATAAAAAAGAAAGTGAGGTACACATACTCAGGTTGTGTGTAACAAAAACAAGATTGTTGTTACCAAGTGGTACGACAACAAATGCGTCACTGTTGCAAGCACATACGTAGACTCACATAGTCTCCAAACTGTACCACGGTATTTCTGGTATAACAAAGTACTGAGAAAGAAAATACCAGTACCATGTCCACGAATGATAAAGGAGTACAACTCCAATATGGGTGGCGTGGATTTAGCGGATATGCTTATTGCGTTATACAGTACAGAATTCAAGGGACATCGCTTGTATCTACCTCTGTTTTCGCAAATCCTTGAAGTATGTATTATGTGTAATATATGTAATATGTAATAACGCTTGGCTTAAGTACCGACGAGGTGCATCAAATAAGTCAAAATTAATGCCATTGAAAGAATTCAGATATGAAATTTACCGAAGCTTACTTTTGTTTGACAGAGGCGTTTCTGCCAATAGACTCAAAAATTATGTACCCCTAATAAAAAACCAGCTGCAGAGAGACCCATTGTCGCTGTATGATAAGTTCAAGTTGGGCATATGCCAGTATTTCAAACTAAAGGCAGGTGGAAAAAATTGCACAAAAGGCCAATTCATTGTCAAAAATGTAAATTAAGACTTTGTTTGGTAGAAGAACGAAACTGTTTTCATGCATATCATACCAAATAGTATTCTAAAGCAAATAATTTGTATTGTTTGATTATATAACGTGATCTCATAATTATAAAACTGTTTATTTGATTATAAAAATGATAAATAATTGTTGATTAATTACAATTAGAATCTATTTTTTGTTACAATGTAAACATGGCACTGTATCTGTCAGGATACGTACTTTTTATCATGTAAATTGTTGCTTACCTGGCAGTGTGCACTGTAGGATACGTTCAATAAAAAAATATCTAAAAGCAAAAGATTTTTTTAAATATTTTATTCACCTTTTATTTACCTAATTAAACACCCTGATTGAAAGAAAAACATTAAAATAAGGAAAAAAAATATCTGCCAAGTAAAGGGTTAAGCAAAATTAAACAATAAGACAAACGCATAGTTTTTTTTTTACAGGAGGCTTGTTTTCCAGAAATTTATTTACAACTTGAGTTTGTGAGCGATCGCAATGAGTGCTATTATTTGTTACTTATTAGACTATTTTTCCACAACATGATTTAAACCCACAAAGTAAAAAGAGTACCATGTACAAGTTAAAAAAAGGTTGTCAACCCCTAAAATCATCAATATTTCAAAATATCCAGAAACGAAGCTGTAGGCATAAACTACTTGCAAAATAATGAATATTTTGTTCTGGATAAATCTTCCAAAAAAGGAATTTGAGAGTTATAACGATATTTAAAAGCCACGACTCGCGTGTCATACGCCACACACAAAAATAATCGATGGCACGTCTGGCGACATAAACGACATGCTCCACATGTCGTTTATATGCACAGGATCACAGAGTTTTTGGACAAAAACAGTGTTTAGTGAATTTTTAGACTTGGAAAAAGCTTATGATAGATTTACCTTATAGCAAACACTGGCATCGTTTGGGTTGAGGCTGGACTTATGCTGGGGTTATAATAATCTCTTTATAGGGACTGCTGTTGTCAGGATCAACAGGACCTACACGGGTTCTGTATCTGCATATTTTGAGAGCGGGCGGCCCCTGTTGGTACGTAGGTCACTCAATAAGTTTTGAGCTATACAAAAATTATTCTAGATACTATTAATATTTATTTTACATCTTTTTAAAATATCCTCCATCATGCTCTATACAAAGTTCCATTCGCCTAAACCAACTCTGAAAACACTTTTACCAGTCTTGATCTAACGTCACGTCACGGCTTCTTCGGCGCTTGAAAAAAACTTGCTTTTTATTTTTGCTTTGATTCTTGGGAACAAAAAGAAATCACAAGGAGATAAGTCAAGGCCGTAGGGTAGGACTTAAGAGTTTCAACACCAGATTCCTCAATAAATGCTTTTGTTCTAAGGGTGGTATGTGAAGAGGCGTTAACGTGATGCAGCATGATTCTTCTAAGCCCGGTCTTTGGTCTTCTCTCCCGCACAGCTTGAAAAGCTTTGGGTAATGCAACTGTAGTAGACCTACTACAGACTGACCTACAATTTTCCAGCATTGACGTCGACAAATGACAAAAAAAACTAGCCACCATTTTTTTGCCGACGTTGCGAGGTTTTTGCAGTTTTGTCGGCTTTTATTTTCCGGATCATATTGATAGATCCATGTCTTGTCACCAGTAACGATTTCTGAAACATGCCTAGATGCCCCGTTTTCAAAAAGTAGACGTATTTCATGGCACCAATCCACACGAGTCTGTTTTTCGCTTTCGGAACGAGGGATTCATCGACAACGAAGCTTCCTCACTCCAAGATGTTGATGTAGGATGGTATGAATGCTCCCCGAACTAATGCCTACAATATTTTCGATATCCGTATATGTGGTTTGTGGGTCTTCTCGCACCATTTCAGTAGTCCATACATTTTCTGCCGTTACTGCTGTTTGCGCGGCCCCGGTTCTTTAGTCATCTTTAAGATTAATTTTACCCCTTTTGAATTCAGCAAACCACCTAAAATTGTTGCGCATGATGGACCTGAGTCCCCTAATGCTGATTGTAACCCTTGTAAAATTAATTGTTCGGTTAAACTAAATTTAAAATCATAATAGCGCGCAAATGTTCACGGTTAAGATCCATCGTTTTAAATGGAAAGCGCGGAAAGCGTTGCAGGAAAATGAATAGAACTTTGTTTTTTTTTTAATATTGAGCAATTGGCTTATGGAGTTCTATTTTTAAATAAATTTGTTTTTTAGAAACATATAACACGGGTGCGTTCCATTTTTAAATTTCGAGTATCTCAAAACTTATTGAGTGACCTACGTAAACAAATCGACAATTCGGCATTTTTGTGGGACATTCGAGTTCGGACGGGATTCAGCCGCGCTACTAGATTTAGTCTAATGAGCAGTGCGGCTCCAACTAGTTTTATTGTACGTATAGGATCGCGTGGACTTAAATTTGAGAGAGGAGGACGCCTGCGTATGACTACTCCGGTCCGCCGTTGGCCCGTGTTGCTCTATGGACATGTTTGTATGACTTCCCCATGGCTGTTCAATTCGTTCATAGAGTTAGTAGTTTAGTTTAGTTAGTAGTTGCCTGTAAAGTAAAAGTCGAAGAATATTTGCTTCATCGTTCATAATGCGTACAGGATCTGAGACGTGGTCCTTCTCTGCTGGCCGTATGAGGAAGTTCAAGGTCGTTCAGCGAGATATGGAGGGCTATCTATGCTCGGAGTTGTTCTGCGTGATAGACTTAGATAGAGAGTCCAAGGGGGAGGCATTGGCCGTTAGTTTGGACATTGCGAAGGCCTTCGATCGGGTTTGGCACAAAGCGCTTCTTTCGAAGCTCCCTTCCTATGGCCTTCCCGAGAAATTATGCAATTGGATCACCAGCTTTCTTGCAGATCGTAGCATCAAGGTCGTTGTAGACGGTGCATGCTCCGACTACAAGCCTATTAACGCTGGTGTTCCACAAGGCTGCGTGCTATTACCAACGCTGTTTCTTCTGCATATCAATGATATGTTGCAAGCCGGTAGCATTCATTGCTATGCGGATGACAGCACTGGTGATGCTCTATACACCGGCCGTGCCAATATTTCGCGGGAAAATGTCACCGAGTACCGGAACAAACTTGTGTCTGAAGTCGAGTCTTTGCTGGACAAAGTCTCGGATTGGGGGCGACTAAATCTAGTCCAGTTTAATCCTCAGAAGACACAAGTTTGCGCGTTTACCGCTAAAAAGAACCCCTTTGTCGTATCTCCTCAGTTTCAAGGTACTCCCCTTGTTGCCTCAGCCAGTATCGGAATCCTCGGCGTCGACATATCGAATGACGTGCAGTTTCGTGGTCACTTGGAAGAGAAGGCCAAATTGGCCTTTAAAAAGCTTGGCGTGCTCAGCAGACCGGGACAGTATTTCATGGCGGCTCAACGCCTGCAACTTTACAAGGCGCAGGTTCGGCCTCACATGGAATACTGTTCCCATCTCTGGGCTGGGGCTCCCCAGTGCCAGCTCCTTCCACTTGACCGCATCCAGCGCAGAGCGGTTCGAATCGTCGACGACCGAGTCCTTTCCGATCGGCTCGACTCATTGGCGCTGCGAAGAGATGTTGCATCTCTTTGCATTTTCTTTCGCATTTACCACGGGGAGTGCTCTGAGGAATTGTTCGGATTTATCCCACCTGCCAAATTTCACGAACGCACAGAACTCCCGATACCATCCATACCATTTGGATGATTGGCGGTCCACCACTGTGCGATTTAGATGATGTTTTCTTCCTCGCACAACTTCTTTGTGGAATAGTTTACCACCAGCGATTTTTCCGGACCGATACGACTTAGGGACCTTCAAGAAAAGAGCCTACTCCTTTTTAAAAGGCCGACAACACTTCTGCAATTCCCCTGATGTTGCGGTTGTTCGTGGGCGGCGGTAGTCACTTACCATCAGGTGAGCCGCATGCTCGTTTGCCCCCTCTCCTATAAAAAAAAAACTTAGAAAAGAGGATATCCGCAATAGAACCAGAGTAACCGACAACCGATGAGGAAGAAAAGTTCTCGAGTAGCGACCCCGAACCGGTAAGCGAAGTGTAGGGCGGCTTCCCACTTGATGGCATTACTATGACGTGGGCTCTGGAACGTGCTTTGTGGCATTTTTTGAGGAAGATGTATGTTCGGCAGTGGACTTACGTTATAATGATGATGATGACGATATTCAAAGCTTTATTTGATAACTTCCTCATCGAATGATAGAATTCGATGAGGAAGTTTTCAACAACAGCTTCTCGACTCTCGATGAATCAAACCGTGTAGACCACATATTGCCATACTTTGATGATGCAGTAGCTAAGCATTTGGCTGTGGTACTGTTGGTCTGCGGTTTCGAATCCCGCACGGAACAATGTGTGACTTGTCTACAATTGTTCCGGGTTTGGTCTTTTGTCCGTAATCAATTTATGAATGTAAAACGATATAGATACATTATGTGGATATATACGATACTTAGTGCGGTGGAAGTTTTTGATAATATAGATCAGAGAGAGTAAGGCCCGGGTGCAATGTCAGGGACTCGTTCAAAACTAGACCCAAATATGATTTTTTTGTACAAATGCTATTTCACCCTGTGATTCGAACGCAAGATAACGTGGATGACAAACCAAAACCAGCAACGTGATTTTTATCTTTATGGACCTTATATTTAGAGACCCTACTTTCTTTTTAACATAATGCAACCCAATAGATGTAAAGAATGCAATTATATTAGCAATTTTATTTGAAATAACAATATGGGATAAAGATTGCTAGTGCAAACTATTCGCAGAATTTAGGACGTTTGACGGCCTTACTCATTGGCAGGGATTGAAAAGGTTCCAAAAATATCAGTAAGTATTTAGTGGCTCTAATATTAGACCTGTAACCGAAACCTAATGAGACCTGAATAAGAAATGTTAAGCATTTTTTATTTTACCGGTAAATGAGATGAACATGTATTAACTTATTTGATTTTATTGTTGAAATAATCATGCATATTTGTTATTAGTTACGATCGAAGTAATGTTATATTTCGGTATTTTGGAACCGGTATCATAAAACTGATACCTTAACCAGAGCTGTACCGCAATGTGAAACCTTATTTTAGAGCCTAAAATAAAAATAAAACACTGTACCGAAGAATCGATTTGTCTCCCTGCTCATTAGATCTAGGCGGCGGTTTTTTTTTACGAATAAGGCTGTTATTTATTATAGTTCTTGCAATAAATACAATATTTCATACAAAAATTTTAATTGTACTTTTCAATAAATAAAATAAATACAAATAGAAACATAAATTCCAATAGTTTCAAATGGAGCAATCACAATGCAATGTCGGCACTACACAGATCGTCTAACACTATAACACCGGGTCCAGAAAGAAATGTATTGTTATTACAATTATGGTCCCGGTGTGTAATTAGCAATTAACACTTGCCAAGTTTTTTCTGCGTCGTCTATATAGAGTTACGGCCTACGGTTTCAGGTTCGATCAAACATTTGGAGTTGCACGGTTGGACGAACGTGTAATGCCAGCATAACTCTTTTATTTCAACACAAGCAACACAATTTAAAAGAATAATCTCAATTTATAAGAAATTTATGTTGAGGTAGTTAACATTCCTAAATGAACAAGTTATTTGTATACAAAACTATTTCATGACTGAAAATAAGTAATCCAGAAACAAAAATGAACCGAGGTTTCGTTTCAGCGTTAAATGTAGCGATGTAACGATACCGATACCGATACCGATATATCGGCCGATATAATCGGCAGGCCGATATATCGGCATCGCCGATTTAAATACAGCCGATAAACAGTTTGAAAAGCGCGCGAAAAGAACGACGCGCTCGCGCGCGACCACGTTGCCACTCCGTCTCAGAGGGCGGGAGGGGCGAAGGATGCGCCCGCCAGCGAAACGGCAATGCGGTTAACGGTCGTCACTCGTCAGTGTTTGCTTAGTTTTGGCCCAGCGTTGTAATGTTTTTCGGCGAATTTACGTCTCGTCGCCGCTATTCATGATTTTGTCTGTTTTTGAGTGAAGTGAGGACTGTAATACAGTTACGTACGATAAATAAAATGGCGACTCCTTTAAAACATAGAAGTAGCATCTGGAATCATTTTCAAATAAAACGGGATGATGACACAAAAGCGACTTGTTTATATTGCAATGTCAGCGTTTCTCGTGGTAGCAAAGCAGTTTCATCGAAGGGCTTCACGACATCTAACATGTGGACACACGTGAAGCGCTATCACGAAAAGGAGTTGGAAAAAGACACCCCAGGTACCTCAAGCGCCGACGGTGGCCCGCCGCCTAAAAAACAAGCTACTTTGGAGCACATTTTGGAAAAAAGTGTCATGTATGATACCGATGACCCTAGGCCAAAAGCGATCACGCAAACAATAGCTGAACAAATGTGTGTAGACATGGAGCCGTTTGACTTAGTAAATAAACTGGGGTTTTAACGCACTATTAAGCAGTTTTGCCCGAAATACAAAATGGTTTCCCGTCCCCATATTTCGGAAAATGTAATACCAGACATGTACTGCCGTGTAAGAACCAAAATAATGGAAACTTTTGCATGAACTTCCGCACATCACTATCACGACTGACTTATGGACAAGCGATGCTTCTTCGTCCGTTAACGACTTTATAAGTGTGACTGCTCACGGACTTGATAAAAATTTTGAGTTGAAGAACTACTGCCTAGAAGTATTTCCTTTTGAAGGCGAAAATCATAGCGCTGAAAACATAGCTCAAAACTTACGTCAATTATTTCAAGATTGGCACATCAGCGAACGGGTACGTGCTGTAGTGACAGATAATGCACCGAATATGGGGCTTGCTATAACACTAGTGGGAGTTCAACGTATCAGATGTATGGCGCACTCTTTACAATTAGTGCTGAAGGATGCGTTTTTTGAAGAGAAAATAAATGCCATGATTACAAAGGCGAGATCTATTATTGGCCACTTCGGTCATTCAACGTCAGGTCGCAAAATCCTAACAGAAATGCAAAAATCTCATAACGTTCCTTGTCACGTTCTCATTCAGGATGTCGTTACTCGCTGGGATTCAACCCTTCATGCACTTAGAAGACTTTTAGAGCAACGAGTTGCAATTCAAGCTTCTTTGCCTCATGTGAAATGTAGAACTGAATTGTCTACAGAAGAATGGCTATTGATGGAACAAGTTGTTTCGACTTTGAATTATTTTGAAGAAGCTACAAAATCTATAAGTGAAGAATCTGCTTGCTTATCTGACGCTATACCTCTTATTAACAGTATGCGAAAAATTTTAAAACAGATCAAAAATAATCAAGAGACCGCGGACGACAGTTACAGCAGCCCAGAATATTATAATTTTGTAGAGATTTTGTTAGCTGGAATAAATGACAGATTTGATTATCTAGAGAGTGAGGAAACCTTTATTTTATCAACAACACTAGATCCGCGCTATAAATTGCGTACGTTCTTTCTACAATCCACAAGCATTGAGGCGAAAAGAATACTTATCTCCTTAATTACAAACAGGGATACACATGTTCCTGTAGAGCGTGTAGAGTCACAAAAAAAGCAAGATGAGACTTTCTCAGGTATCTGGAGTGCTTGTGACAGTTTGATTAAAGAAGCAGAAGAGGAGGAACCTTTATCAAACATGTCTAGTCATCCTGAGCAAGAAGAGGTGGAATCTTATACGAGATGTCCAAATATTCCAATGAAACAAGATCCAAAGAACTATTGGAGCAATGAAGATAAATACCCAAAATTGAAAATGCTTGCACAAAAATATTTATCTTACCCAATGAGCTCAGTTGCCTCAGAACGTCTTTTTTCAACTGCAGGCCTCATACAAAATGATTTGCGCAACAGATTATCTGCTAGTAATTTGAATAAACTTTGTTTCCTAAACAAAAATCTTCCTAAAGTGAACTTTGATTATTAATATTGATTTACTTTTGATTTGATGCCTTGATAAATGTTACCCAAATAAATGTTGATATGATATTTTACCTTTTTTTTTCATTATTTTTAATTTTCAATTTTGCCACACTTTACAGAATGGAGTGTCTATTTATTCCATGTAACATAAGTAAGTTTTATGTACATAAAGTACATCATTCTTTATTTACTGGGTGTATTTACTACTAAGCCATCGATATCGGTATCGCCGATTATTTTTCTCGATAATCGGTATCGGTATCGTATCGGCAAATTCATGTATCGTTACATCGCTAGTTAAATGGATAAACAAGCCGGACAGTTTGTGGTTCGATCTTTCACTTTATTATTGTCTGACATTAGTTCAAATAGTTGGGTCTAAAAATTTTACATTTTACACAGAAATAAAAAAATTACGACATAGCCATGGACAAAGAACGCATTTTTCGAAATAATAAACCGCTGAAGTGTTAAAAAGGTAGTATCAAATTTTTACGAAAAAAAAACTTCCCTTAAATTTGTAAAATCTAACAAACAACCCAACATGTACTAGGTAGATTTAGAAAAATTAACCCGTAAAAGGAATTTTTTCATCTATCTACCTACCTACATTTTTTTCTGACGCCGAGTCTTTTCCTATATGTCTGACTTTTATATTCAACAAATTTTTTGAAAAATTGTTTGTCTGTCAGTCACAATCCAATTTATTATAAATGTATTACAAATTATTTGTTCAGTAACCAAATATAAAATAAATTAACTTAAAATCCGTGGTAATTTGTGGATTTCAATTTATATACAAAACGGATCGTAAGAGAAATCGAAAGATAAGAACCAGCTATTAGAGATGAAGCGTATATACTAGAACGGATCCAGGCACTAGGTAGGATCCAGGTACTATTAAACGAGACTAGGTTGCACCTGTTCCAACTTATAAAACACTTGATCCACTTGGTCTCACTGTGCCTACGCGCAGCACGGCACGCGCGGCCCGCTCGAATTGAAGAAGTGCCGGCGCGACGAAGCGAATTGGTTGGTGTACTACTAGTCTGCTTTGCCCCGCTCACTCATGTATGCCTAAATCATTCGTGTGTCAGTCATTTGAATTTGTACCATATTTCAATGTACATAAAAGTAACCCGACACGCAGTAGTATTGTGCAAGAATATATTCTGTCCTTTTTTAACTACACTATTCCGCAGTTTTTCTATCCTTATCTTTTAGTAGGGACTTCAATTAAATACTAGGCAGTCGAATGTCTAGTATGGACTCATGCGAATGTGATCTCGGTGGACGCCGGCTCTATGTAGATAACTACGGGACGTCGCAATCAGATACGCATATCGGACTTATTTAGCAATTGGTTTACGTAACGAAGGCAAAAGTTAAATGTTATTAAGTGTTAATAACTTTTGATTTTATTTTTTACTAAGACAAAGTGTTTATTGTTTAAAAAAATGGCTCACAAAGGAAGTAGTGTCGCTTGGGATCACTTTACAGACAAAGGCCAACAAATGGCCGAGTCACCGAGTGTAATATTTGTAAAATACAATTGAGTTTTAAAAGTTCTATATCAAACCTGACAAAGCACATAAAACGTAAACATCCATTCGTAAGTTTAATTAGAAGAAACGACGTTCTCTCCTCAGCTCCAGTGATAGCAGCCCAGACTAACCAGCAACCGCCAACCACAGAACAACCTGCTGGAATAGTTCAACAACCTGAAGATGAACAACGGCCGTCCACTAACTTGGTGCGATTAGTATAACCAGGTTCGAGAACTATAGCTTCATACATATATAAAAATGTAAATCTGATATAAGTTATTAATGGATTTATTTATTATGGATTTCCAACCATTCCGTATTGTAGAAGACAAAGGCTTTAGACAATTAATTCAGTCTGCTTTTCTTTTTTAAGTTATTCCAAATCGTAAGTACTTTGCAAACAATTTATTGCCAAGCCGCTACGAAAGTTTGCAAACTTCAAAAATGACGGAAGTCGCAAATGATGTTTTCCATCACAGAGGATATACGGACATCAAGTACAAACGACTCGTACATGGGTATTACTGGTCGTTATATCAATAATAATTACAAAAATTAAAAATTTGGTACAACCGACTTCAACGTAAATTAATAAAGATAACTCAAAAACTATTGGTCAGACCTTGATCAATTTATATGGGGCCACATGAGAAGCACCAACTTTCAAATAAAAAAAAAAGAATAATCGAAATCGGTTCACCCTGAAAAAAGTTATGAGGTAAAACACATTACAAAAAAGAACGTGCAGTCCGAATTGAGTACCGTCTCCTTTTTGAAATCGGTAGAAAAATTACTGCACCTTAAAATCCATCTTGTTAGATTGTGTACTTTAAGAGAGATCACATAGCAGTGCCAACTTAGCTATGGAACTGTTACGAACAACAGAGGAATGGAAAGTATCAGGAAAAAATTTGTTGGCAGTGTCAGATAAAGGAACCAATATTAAAAAAGCCATGATAGATTTAGGCTGGAAGCATTTTATTTGCTATGCACACACGCTAAATTTAGCCGTCCAAGAAGGATTGTCTGCAACACAAGAATTGGTGTGCTTTGATTAATAAGGTAAAAACTACTGTTGCTTACTTCAAAAGGTCCAGCTCAGGCCCGGGAAAAATTAAAAAAAAAAACCAGGAACAGGCTGGAAAACTCCTAAAAGACCTTTGCAATGTGTTAGCACGCGGTGGAATTCTACAATCTACATGTTGGTAGAATTAGAGGTTAATAGTGCGCTCTCTAACTTAAACGCCAATAATATGTCCTTAACTGCAGTTGATTGGGAACTTTGTGAACACATTTGCAACATTTTAAAACCATGTGAAAAAGTTACAAGGGAAATAAGTGCTCAAAAATATGTAACAGGAAGTTTAGTAATACCTATTACGACAGGGTTAGTTAAATCTTTGGAAAATATTAATACTAATACATACCTCGACACCGTTCAAAAGTTACAAGACTTGCTAGCCGCTAGGTATATAGATTTACTACCTGTATGTTCCTGGTTCCTAGATTCAAACTGTATTTTGAAGATCAATACCAAAGACAAAGAAACAAAGAATCGTAGGAACTATTAGGACAATTATAAATAAAGAGGATGGAAATAATCCCCAAATTCAAAACGCAAGAGCAGCAGCTATCGGATCAAGAAGCAAATCCTCCACATCAGCCTCAAATTAATTTAGCATGGCAGCATTTAACAAAAACTGAAGAATATTCAACCCAAGGGCACGGCAACTTCTCGAGCGATTTTAGAAGTACAAAGATTTTTGGACGACAAAGTTGTGTTGCCAGATGAGAATATATCACTACTAGAGTGGTACAAAAAGCAGGAAGATGTGCTCTGGCACTCACCAAGTTTAATGCTATGAGCTATGACCCACGAGTGTTCCTTGTGAAAGATGATCTATCTCCTGTGGATTATTACTTAATGACAAGAGAACGGGGCTGGGGAATCGAAAAGTCCAACAATTAATGTTCTTGAATCAAAATTCTTAAGGCTGATTTTCACTGCCAATTTTTGTGAAATAGACTTATATATAATATGGTTAGAATCGCCTTTTTTTTTACGTCTTTTGGTCTAACTCTTATGACTCTACGACCTGCTTATTGTCGGTTAGGCAGTATGTAAATTGAGACTCAGCCTAATTTTTTCGTCGTAAACGACACATATTTTGGTGTATTTTCGATTTTGATGGTTGCCTAAAAATGATTTATCGAAACTGAGACTTATGTTATTAAGGCTTTTTAAAACATTTTCTTGTTTGTACTTTAACCGGTATGGGCTAGAAACAAATTACGTATAAAGATACATTTATCACATTTTGCCTCAACTTTTTTTTCTAAAACTCCTTTCACGACAATATGTCACTTTGTTAGAAAAATATTATTGTCATTTAACACGTTAACTGTCCCCGTACAGAATTTTTCGACAACGTCACATGTTCAAATGAGTTTTTGTATTATTCTGTGTCAAATTGATTCAAAATGACTAATTTTGGATAGTTAGCCTACTTACATAAATAACTAATTATCCGGTTTTTCTTACCTTTTGATCGTGTACCGTATTCGGTACACGGATCTACGTAGCGAGTAAACTTAGCGTGTACCGTGGACTTGTGTGAACGGCGAGTTTAAACAAAACGTTTTTCTATTCATATTCTTGTTTATGGTAATTATTTGACATTTATACCAAATAAAAAAGTGACATCTCAACTTCAAAACTTTCAAATTTTGGCCGTTCGTGCGCCAAATGTTATGGTGTGAATAATAATTGGAAAGTGATGAAATGTATGATAAATATGCAATACTCTGACGTCAAATAAATCAGGAGAGATTTTTAATGACAGATACAAGAAACAGAAAAAAAAAGAAAGGTACAACATTTTGACAGCAAATGCAGCAATCGTGAAGAGATTGTTGAAAATTGAACCTGACCAGCAGCACACACGTGAAGCGCAACCACAGCCGAGCACTTCGCGTTCATCCGAAATAGTGAGACAAATGCCATTTGAAAGCCTGTCTTCATCATCCTCAAGTACACTGTTGGGATCCAATAGGAGCTCACATTTTATAGAACCCATTGGCAAAATTAGGGGTATACTTATACGAAGACGTTGCGTTGGGTGTTATAAAAAACTTATTGACCTTGGAAGTCTTCCAAAAACTGCAAGAGCAAAAGCTAAAAGAGTGACAACGTACTGTAATAAATATAAAAAACTTATTGTCTCCAATGTTTTTCTGAATTTCTATTGCATACATAAATAAAGCCATTTTCTTACTATACATTTTATTTCTATTTTTTTTCAACCATCCACATATAGAAAAAAAAAATTAAATGTTTTACGTTTTTTCTTTTTATTAGTGCTTTGTTGACAAGTCCTGGCAAATAGAGTAAACTAACTGAGAAGTCGATGAAGTTAGAGCTTATAGAAAAAGAAAAGGGCGCAAGTACCGTAAACGGTACACGGACGTGACGAACCCATGCGGCGTGTACTGTATTCGGTGCACTGGACAGCTAACGTGTTAAGATATTTAAGCCAATATTTCCGTGACTTTGTTAGGCGTTTACAGTCATTTTACCTGTTACTGTACCAATTAACGGAGGAGCCTAATACAAATTGTTCTAAAAACTCAATATAAATTATCGCTTATCCTTTTTTTACCTCCCGATACTCCAATGAGTGTGGTGGTTAGATAAGCATATAAAAAGTAAATTTTATACTTACCCAAATTCAATGTCGCGGCATTTGTCGTTTACCTAGTGCAATAAAAATTAAAAACGTCGGTTATCTCTTTCATTCATTCAAAGCAAACGAGGTCACGGTCACACAGTGAACATTTAGTGCTCACACGACCGCGAAACAAACGCAAAAACGCCAAATCTAGAGATTTAACATAGGCTTTCATGTCCATGAAAAGGACAAATGTGTCAAATGCCTAAAATATGAACAAAATAAAGATAATTCCGAAAAGAAGAAGAAAGGAAACAACATAAAAAGAACACAGAGTTACAAGCGATTTAAAGTTCATTAAGATACACAAGAATGACCCTAGTACATTATATGCTAGTTTTGATCTACAAAAGGTATTAAATACCCCTTATGGGGAAAGCATGCGGTTATATTACAGCCGTAAATTAGCTGTATATAATTTGTGTATTTCCGAAAATGGCACGCATAAAGTGTATTGTTTCTGTTGGAACGAAGCTAATGGAAAAAGATGAGCCAACGAAATTGCGACAAAACTTAATAAATACATTAACATTGTCGAATAAGAATTGGAAATAAGAATTTGTTACTATACTGTGATTGTTGCCCAGGTCAGAACAAAAGTCGGATAGTCATGGCAATGTTACACTCAACTTTACAAACATGCAACAATATTGAAGGAATCCAGATAAACATCTTGTCGCCCATTATTCACGTACCTTGACAATGGTATACAGTATTCACTACGGTAAGACAAGACCAGAACCGTACGAAGTGGAGTTGTTGCATTTCAAAGACTTCAATAGATGGGACGCAATAAGCGAAAAGTATTTCAAGGACAAATTTAATGGGAAAATCAGTAAACTTCGTGTTGTAACATTCAGAAAGAAAAAGGATTCAGAAATTGCTATCAAGAACTCCGTGAATGAGAATGATAAAAACTTATTTAATCGAACTTCAATCAAAAATCAAAATTAGTCCGCCAGCGTGTTATAAATCTCATTTAACTATATTTAAAGCAAAACACGACGATTTACTGAAACTTTGTCGAGAAAAGATGATTCCTGAAATATTTCATAATGAATGTCTTGCAACCACTAATAATGCCAAAGATACTCTACCAGAAACCGATATCGAAGATGGTAATGTTGCGCGCCACTATTAATGTCTTGTATATGGCAATACTAGTTACCACCAGCGCCCTCTAGAGTCGAGTAGCAGAACTAGGAGTCAAGATCCTTCTAGAAATTTCTGGACCGATATGTACGCGAACATTCTAGATGTCGCTACAGTAGAAGGTTCTGGAAACTATCTGAGGCCCTATATAAGGCCGGTATAGACCGCGAACGAGTCAGTATTGAATTGGCGATATAAGCGAATACTTCGAAGCGCAATAACTGCGAATTAAAGTGATCAGTAATACAATTGCGTTTTATTATTAGTGTGGTTTTAAGTTGTAATTAGTGTTTTATAATTAAAGTGTCAATTTTGGTAATTCAATTGGCAGTTTTTAATCGTCTCGAACCCCAAGCTCGTAACAGTAATATTGAATAAGTAGCTTTTGCTTTTATTTTGGCATCAATTTTTATTTCTGTTTAAGGACTAATGTTTCGATCGTCAAATAACTTATCTGAATAAAAAAAATACGGTTTGACATATATATTTTTATACAAAAGCTGTCAAACCGACAAATTTATAACGTAGATAAAAAAATGTAGAGATTAAAAAATCAGTCTAAGATTTGTAATGTGTACTAAACTAGTAATGATAAGGGTCTAAAGACTGCATTTAAAGTATTTGTCTAACATTTGATATGACTTACGAGTACAGTGATCTCCAAAAATGTTTATTAAGATAATGTAACCTGTTTGAATTTATGGTTCCTATATATTTTTGTAAGTAATGTGCCTTGACATATTTTTTATTGTTATACTTTTATTATGGATCAGTTTAAAATATTATGTCAAACTTGAGTGTGTTCAAGTTGATGAAATAACCCCACAGTTGATTTTACTTTTTCGTAGTCTTATATCATTAACTTCTTAAGTACAAGGTTGATCAACCTTAGTCTTAACTTATAATGATTGAATATGCAATAGTTTAATTGTTAAAATTGCCACGTTTTAGCAATCATTCCGTGTTTTCAGAAATACTTTTATGTTTTACTTTTAAGTAGTTCGATTAAGAGGGCTGAGAATGTGTGCCATTATAATTCCAAATAAAGTCTGATTTACCATTTTTTTTAATCCTCCGTGTCTGAGATGAAGATACCTTTTTAATAGTAAAACGATAAAAAATTATGTTATTTCGTTGTTTTCGTAAATGCTAAATGTTTCTTCCAAAAATTATTAACTTATTACAATTTCCGTGTCCGTCTGTCATTAACTAATAACCGGTTATATCATATTGCCCTTTCTTGATGTACGATAAACTTACAGTTATGTTATTTTTCTTCAATTTAAATATAACGAAAGGTGCAGTTAAATTAATTAGGCTGGAAGTGAATTAAATAGCGGTTGTCATTTATGACATATTTCCTGTTTGTAGAAATAGGACCTTTTGGGGATAAGCGACCGTAAACAGTGTAAGTTTGATTTATAATCAGATAACAATACCATTTTGTAGAGAAATAATTAAAAGCTAAGAATTTTTATGAATTTTTTTCGCATATTTTGAACTTTAAACCACTCTCCTGTAAAGTTTCTAAAATGTCTCTTATCCGTTTTTGGCTGTGAGGCATCGATACACATATAAAAAAAATAACTATAATTGTAGATACGTGATTAAAAAATAAACAAAAAATTAAAAAAATACACGAAAAAATCTGATTACTTTGGAAAACATTAATTGAAATCTTTTAAATACTCCTACAATGTAGATAAATCTTTATCGTTGACAGTCCTAAGCCTGTGTAAAGTATGAAGGGAAGATTACAATCCATTACTGCATACGTACCTAGTACCTACACGTATCGGTGGTACGCAAAGACTAAGCATACTTTAAATTGTAACCTATTCCAGGAATACCAAACTTTATGCATACTTCACGGACTAGGAGGAACAGGTATTTGGATTAAGTATTTGTACAGAATTGGATCAGGTGCACCTAGTACAAAATTTACCTAGTACGACTCATCTCTATCAGCTATAAAAAATGTCAAACAAACACATCACTATGATCCTTCACATTTGACAGTCTCGTTTCGCGGTATTTTTTGAACGGCGAACGCGTCGAAGGAGGGCTTTTTTTCCGTTTCAACGATCAACTTGTAATAATCTGTAGATGGCACCGGCACATTCGGCTTTGCGTGGTCCCGTTTGAAATGTCTACCCAAGTGGCTCGACTGCGAGAACTTCCTCTCGCATATCTTACACGTGTATTTCTTCTCGCCGGTGTGGACCACTTTGTGCTGTTTGAGTGCGGACGACGTGTAGAACGTCTTACCACACTCGCAATGATAGTCCCGTTGACCTTTATGTCGCTTCAAGTGTACGTTGTACGCGCTGCACGTGACAAAGCCACGTTGACATTCCTTACATTTGTACCTAAAAAAAAGAGATTCATTAATTACAGCCTATCTAAAGTCCAGTGCTGAAAATAGGGTTCACTCTTAGATTGCCTCTTGTTTGGCCACATTTGCTATTCTTGGCGAGTTGACGAATGTTGATGAATCTTAATTGTTTTTATTATTATTTTCGATTGTTATCTAGGAAATGCTGCTACCTGGCTATCTTTTGTTTCAGTTTCCCTCTGTCACTTCTTACGACACTCACGGGATGATATGGGGTAATGGATGCTCTTACTAATTTTTTTTATAGGATAGTGTGACAAATGAGCACACAGTCCACCTGATGGTAAGTGGTTACTGTGGCCCATAGACATCTACAATTATCCTCGTTTGCGAATCAAAATGCAGATGCGTTGTCACCCGTGAGGACTAAGATGGAATGTCTCTTTTCCAGTAAAAAGGGTCTACGGTTCTCTACACTCACCATACGAAACACAGCAGTGTCAAGCTGCTATTTTAAGCTGGTATTCTGTGAGAGCGTGGTCCTACCCCGGTCGAGCCGACCCATTCGTGCTACAACCATAATATAGCGGCAGCAAGGCTCTACCACGTATATAAACCACAAAACGTACGTGTAACTACTAAAAAAAATTATATTAAATAATGTAAATACAAAAAAATGTTTAATATTCTGTTACACAATTTTATCACAGTACTTTATATTTAGTTTATGCAAATGTTAATTTTAATGTTATGTAAATAAAAGTTTAAGTAAAATAATATATTAGAGCAAATTGTGCAGTGCCAAGACAAACACAATTGTGTTTAATGGCATGAAGAAATTATATTGTAATTAAAACTGTTACTGTTCATGCTCGAACAAAGGGAGTAGAAATAACGAAGACTTGGTAGTTCACACGACGTTTAATCCTTATAGTAATGCTACTTTACAATGGCACTGATATAAATTAGTTGAAGTATAGCCGTTCATAAAATAGGTTGGAAGCGTTGTCCTTACCAAGTTTAATAACGGGGAAGACGCTGAAGTTTCCTTCTGACAGTCATGGTAGTCAAGTAGTCGATGCAAATGTTCGGTGGACATCCTCCTATTTTCGCTTTAAACATCATCTTCTGCCACCAGGCATTGTAGAAGGCGCCAGAGATAACCAAAAAAATTACATACCATTCACCCACGACAGGGAGGGCAAACCTCAATCAGCGGGGCAGGCCCAATTTTTTTCAATTAATTTTTTTCTTTCGTTGAATTGAAATAATGGTTTACACTCACCTAACTTCTTTATTATGTATTCTAACGTGTATGGATAGATTGCCGGATGTGGCAAAGGTTTTATTACATAAATGGCAAGAATATGGCTTTTCGCCATTGTGAATTCTTTGATGCACTTTTAGGTCAGCTTTGATAGGAAAACCTGAAAACAAAAAAGTGCAAGATACAGCCTAGATATATGCCCCGCAATGGGCAGTGGCATTTTCCTGATTAGTAACACAAAATAATAAAAAAACTGCCATTGCCAACTGGCTTTCCGAGCGTGGCAACAATGGCAAAATCGTCCATTTGAGGAAGGCCTATGCTTAGCAGTGGACTTTTAAGATTGTAAGGAAAGAAAGAAAAAGTAGGTCAGTTATCACAGCTCAGTGCAACATTAAAATAACGTTGTGGTTATTTGTGATTATTTTTGTAATTTATTAAAAAATACTCATTCACCAATTCACATTTCGAGCTGATAAAAATCAGTAAATTCTGTAAACAAACCTCGAATATATAGTCTAATATTTAAGCTAGAGACTATATCAGCATGTTTCACGGCTGGGCACAGGCTCTTATAAACTCAGGTAATAAAATAATTTACACATACATAATAGCTCCTTAAGTCAGTGCACATACTTAAAGTGAGACAAGCAAAGTCATAAAGTTATGCCCGAAAATACATTTAAAAAAAAGAAATGTATAATTATAAATTCTGTTCTGACGGCTCTGTGGCGCAGTAGCTTATATATGTAAACTGCCTCCATGATACAAGAGAAAACATAAGTGTGGAAGTAACGTTCTTTTTTTTAAAAAAGGGAAAAGACAATTGTGAACCTCTTCCATTTTAGAAGTTTGTTCAAAATGGCGGTCTTTCTTTACATACTTAATTTAGTTAATTAAAATGAAAACTACTTACCTTTACCACAGTCCTGACATAAAAATGGTTTCTCGCCTTTATGCCTCTTCATGTGTATAGAGAGTTGCGCGCTTTGGACAAAGCTCTTGAAACATATATCACAGCTAAACAACTTCTCACCTAAAGCATAAAATAGAATATTTTTAATCAATATAGATTACAATAATACTTATTGAAAGTCATCTATGCTTTAACCACTAGTTCGGAAAAAAAAAACCTCTGTCCTGGGAAGAACCACCAAGAAACCCAGTGTGCCCTTTTTAAAATATTAATTTGTTGTACAATCTATATAATTTTAACATAGACAAATTCTAATTAGAATAATCTACTGACCATACTTTTAATGTACATGCTCTCATAAGATCTACTACCAACTCTACGGCAAATGTAAAATACAGCAGCATCAAAGGTGCAATGCGTCTTGTACTGCAATCATTAACCCCCGCGTGCGATTTGACATTGAAGTCAAATCCAGTGTATTGGGAAAGGCTCATACCAAGCAGTTTACTCTGCTGCCTGTTTTTACCTTAATTACAAACGTCAACTGCATTATATATATTATGCAATTAAGAAAGAGTAATTAAGTTTTAAATTAAGTAAAAAAGAGTATTGATACGATTCGGCAACAATTCTGACTCGTAGAGAATATATAGTATAGTAGTAGTGAGTATACTGTGTAGTGATAGACAATGGTCAACTACAAGAATTTAAAAAAGAAGGTGAAATGTTGCCATCACTAAGGAATAAAACGCCTCACAATCCGATTAGGATGCATTCAGTACAGTTGAACTTTCGTCAGCCATCATCTCGTCAAAATGCGATAGTCCCATTGGACCACTATCCAGGTATGTACTATACCCTTTATTTATAGATCAATATCGATTTATAGTCAGCCTATCCGATGTAATATTTTTTATGTCTGATTTAATTTCCTCCAGTTGGTCAAACGTCCCAAATCCCGTTTATATTTTTTTTATTTTTTTTTATAGGATAAGGGTGACAAACGAGCACACAGTCCACCTGATGGTAAGTGGTTGCTGCGGCCCATAGACATCTACATCTATCCTCTGTTACAAATCAAAATGTAGATGCGTTGTTACCCGTGAGGACTAAGATGGAATGCCTCATTTCCAGTAAAAAGGGCCTCCGGCCACCTGCACTCACCAAGCGAAACGCAGAGGTAAATCTCTACTTCACGCTGGTATTCTGTGAGGTCGTGGTACTACCCCGGTTCGAGCCGGCCCATCCGTGCGACAGCAAAAGCTGCCGCGTGGCTCTACCACTGTTATAATTAATATAATTATTCCTCTTGAACAAACAACAAATCTTTTAATCACATCAACATGATCAAAGGTGAAAATTTATTGACTCTCTCAACATTCTAACCGGAATACATCATATCATGTATATACGTATGTATGTATGAAAGTAGTACAAAAAAAAGCAGAAAGTAAGGATTATATTATATTCCTGGCTACGGTGGCGACCATGGTAACGGCGGGGCAGGGGGTGCTAAGAATCTCCGGTGGAAGTTCGGTTGCCACCTACGACGACTCGACCTGGCAACTTATAACGCACGCACTCTGAGGACTGACGAGAAGATCCTGGAGTTGGAAGAAGAGATAAACAAGTTGCGCTGGAATATCATAGGATTATCGGAGGTACGAAGAGAGGGGGAGGACACGGTAATCCTCGAATCCGGCAACTTGTTCTATCACCGGGAGGGCGACCATCTGTCCCAAGGAGGTGTCGGATTTATCGACCACAAGTCTCTCGTTAACAACGTTGTAAAGATTGGGAGTGTGTCGACGAGGGTTGCGTACCTTATATTCAGAATCACCAAACGGTATTCGCTGAAGGTCATACAGGTTTACGCACCCCCCGATGAGGAGGTGGAGGAAATGTATGAGGGTATCTCTAGAGCCATGCATTCCTCCAAAACCCACTATACGGTGTTAATGGGAGACTTCAACGCAAAACTAGGCACAAGAGAGAACGATGAGCTGAAAGTAGGGAAATTCGGAATAGGGCAACGGAATCCAAGGGGCCAGCAGCTGGCCGACTTCATGGATAAAGAGGGACTCTTTATGATGAACTCTTTCTTCCAGAAGCGGCCCCACAGGAAGTGGACCTGGTCGAGCCCCAACGATTCGATAAAAAATGAGATTGACTTCATTATGACGACCAGACGACAACTGTTCAGTGATGTCTCAGTGATCGCGAGGGTGAAAACCGGCAACGATCACCGAATGGTGAGAGGCACACTGAACCTAAACGTTAAGTTGGAGAGGTCACGTCTAATGAAGTCTACGCTCCGTCCCCCTCGTGCTCTAATCCAAAGTCCCGAAACCTTTCAGCTCGAGCTATGAAACCGCTTTCAGTGTCTAGAAGATTGCAATGCAGTGGGCGATATGAATGACAAGCTCGTGGAAACTGTCCATGCGGTCGGACCTAAGTTTTGCAAGACCCGCCGCAGAAGAACACAAAAACTCTCCGATCACACTCTTAATCTCATGGCTGTTAGACGGGATATGAAGCTGCAGTCTTCAGTAGATTTGACAGCATACAGGCAACTGAACAGACAGATCTCCAAATGCATGCAGCGGGACTTACGCAACTTTAATACTGCTCGTATTAAAGAAGCGATCGAGCGGAACCAGGGCTCCAAAGTCTTTGCTAGAGACCTGTCTGCCAGAAAGAGCCAAATGTCAAAGCTGAAGACCGAGTGTGGCAGCGTCGTTTCCGGGACATCTGAGATTTTGAGAGAGATTGAGAGGTTCTATGGGCAGCTGTACACATCATCGTTGGAGCCACACGCAAGTGTGAGTAACGATCCAAGAGCGAGTCTTATCCGACAATATTCCGAAGATATCCCGGAAATCAGTCTGAGCGAGATTAGAATGGCTCTCCAGCACCTTAAAAACGGCAAGGCCCCAGGCGAGGATGGAATTACAGCGGGGCTTCTGAAAGCGGGTGGAAAACCGGTACTTGAAGTCCTTCAGAAGCTCTTTAATTCCGTCCTCCATGGTGGCATTACACCGGAGGCGTGGAGCAGAAGTGCGGTGGTCTTGTTCTTCAAGAAAGGCGACAACGCTCTCTTGAAGAACTACAGACCGATTTCCCTTCTGAGCCGCGTCTACGTGCTGTTTTCGAGAGTAATTACGAATCGTCTCACGCGCAGACTTGACGACTTCCAGCCTCCCGAACAAGCCGGTTTCCGAAAAGGCTTTAGCACCATAAACCAAATACATACCCTTCGGCAAATTGTACAGAAGTCCGAGGAGTACAATTTGCCACTATGTCTGGCGTATGTGGACTATGAGAAAGCCTTTGATTCCGTCGAAATTTGGGCGGTGCTGCAGTCCCTTCAGCGATGCCAAGTTGACTGTCGGTATATCGAAGTGTTGAAGTGCTTGTACAGTAGGGCTACGATGGCTATCCGAGTACAGAACCAGAGTACGAAACCAATCCAATTGCAGAGAGGTGTAAGACAGGGTGACGTCATATCCCCGAAACTCTTCACCGCTGCATTGGAAGACGTTTTCAAGCTTCTGGACTGGAAAGTATACTGTATCAACATCAATGGCGAGTACATCACTCACCTTCGATTTGCCGACGATATAGTCCTTATGGCAGAATCGCTGGAGGACCTAAGCACTATGCTCAATGACCTCAATAGTGTTTCCCAACAGATAGGTCTTAAGATGAACATGGACAAAACAAAGATCATGTTCAATGTCCATGTCACACCTATGCCGGTAGTTGTTGGGAGCACTAAGCTCGAAGTTGTTGACGAGTATGTTTACCTGGGACAAATAGTCCGACTAGGTAAGTCCAACTTCGACCGAGAGGTCAATCGACGGATTCAACTCGGTTGGGCAGCGTTCGGGAAATTACGGCACATCTTCTCGTCAGGTATACCTCAAAACTTGAAATCGAGACTGTACAACCAGTGCGTGTTGCCAGTGATGACATATGGAACTGAGACGTGGTCCTTCACTGCTGGCAGGATAAAGAAGCTCAAGGTCGCTCAGCGAGCTATGGAGAGGGCTATGCTCGGAGTTTCTCTGCGTGATAAACTTGGAAATGAGGATAGTAGATAGTAGTAGTAGAACCAGAGTGACCGACATAGCCCAACGGATTAGTAAGCTGAAGTGGCAATGGGCCGGCCATATAGCTCGAAGAACCGACAACCGATGGGGAAAAAAGGTTCTCGAGTGGCAGCCTCGTACCGGCAGGCGAAGTGTAGGGCGTCCCCCCACTAGACGTAGTGACGACCTGGTAAGATATGCAGGAAGTCGATGGATGCAGGTGGCTCAGGACCGTGCTTTGTGGCATTCCTTGGGGGAGGCCTATGTTCAGCAGTGGACTTGTGAAGGGCTGTAATGATGATGATGAAGGATTATTGACCTGACCACATTACTCACTTACATTACTTTAGTTTCATTTAATTATTTATTTACGACTTATTTTATTAAATAAAATGTTCATTTATAAATAAACAAAATAAAAACAATGACCACAGATTATCTATCAGGTACTTCTCAGTAGAGGTCTCATTTTTGGAATTAGTGGTGATATGTTAAGAGCTTAGTTAGCCTAAAATGATTCTACAAAATATTTTGGACATTGAAAGTATTGCTCTGAGTAACATCAGTAAAGTAACACAGTTACTAACCAGTGTGCATCCGTATATGGTTGATGAGGCCTGTGCGTCGTCTAAACTGCTTTGGACAGTATTCGCAGTGGTATGGAGTCTCTCCCGTGTGTAGCTTCTTGTGCTGGTTTAGGGTGCTGTGGCCTCTATAAGTAAAGATTAAATTTTAAATGACTTTCCGTTATTATTTGAAATTACAAGGTAAATAAACTCTAGATTGGAACGAGAAATTTGCACTGTGAGATAGCAGCGAACATTTATAAGAAAATCCGTCTTCCAATTTCAACCTTAATAATGTCCTCCAGACCGGAATTCGGTCACGGTGGCTAGTCTCAACATCGACTAAACATCGGCGTATAACAAGATTATAGTACACAAACACAGGTGCACTATCTATATCCTCTCGTAGTCTGATGGGATGGTAATCTGACACAACTGAAGAGAGATCAGGCGCAGGACCAACGGCTTTACGTACATCCCGAGACTCGGGGGTGAAACACCACCAACATCCTGACTCCGGACTGCCACTAATAATTTCTTGACAACAAAACCAATAACTGATTTTAGTCCGACCCGGGATCTCATGAACAGCATTCGCGGTTATGACCACTAGACGAATGAGGCAGTCGAGAAGAATCTCTTACCTTGTTACCATACTAGGCAACCGTATAAGGGTGCGGCCCACGAAGCAAATACAAAGAGGAGATGGCATAAGCAACTTGTGCACTGTGATTCTAACTGGGTCCTGACGTCATCACAGTGGGCGTGGCTTTACTTAGTATACTGTCAGCATTCGCCCTGTGCGCTTATGTGTCGAAAATCGCAAATCGGTGTATTTTCGTAATATTAAGAAGAAAATGATGAAGTATTGCGTTTTACCGTGTAAAAATAAAAAGCGGCCAAGTGCTAGTCGGACTCGCCCATGAAGGGTTCCGCAGCAGCAAGTAACATAATATAAATGTTCTTGTAGTTCGTTGTAACTTTGATCGATGTTTTAATAATAGTGATTTTTTATTTTTATATTTGAGTTAATTGCGGTTTACGATTTATGACGTATTAAAAAAAACTACTTACTACATCTCGTTGAAACCAATTTACATCGTAATGTACATCATATATTTTTTTAGTTTTATTATGCTCTTATTTTAGAAGTTACAGGGGGGAGTGGGACACACATTTTACCACTTGGGAAGTGTCTCTCGCACAAACTATTCAGTTTAGAAAAAGATGATATTAGAAATCTCAATATCATTTTTGAAGGCCTATCCATAGATACCCCACACGTATGGTTGTGATGAAAAAAACTTTTTGAGTTTCAGTTCTAAGTATGGAGGACCCCCAAAATTATTTAATTATTTTTTTTATTAATTAATTGTTTTTTTTATTTTTGTATGAAAATCTTAATATGGTACACAGAATACATCTACATACTAAGTTTCAACAGCATATTTCTTATAGTTTCGGAAAAGTGGCTGTGACATACGGACGGACAGACAGACAGACATGACGAATCCATAAGGGTTCCGTTTTTTGCCATTTGGCTACGGAACCCTAACAAGTCAGACTAACGCTCTGATGCTATGGATGGCATCACATTTCATTTGTAAGTAATTTTACATACATACATATAATCACGCCTCTTTCCCGTGAGGGTAGGCAGAGACCAGTTCTTTCCACTTGCTACGATCCTTGCATACTTGTTTTGCTTCGTCCACTTTCATTATTCCCTTCATACATGCTCTACGGTTTAGGGTACTCTTGACCTGGCCTTTTAGTAGTAGTAAGTAATTTTATACCTAGTTTATTAAAAAGGTTCTAGAAAAATCTCTGCGTCGGCTTTCAAATGTAATTAAATATATTCGACACTAGATGGCGACGCTTTGTGTCATGGAAACTAAAAATATAAAGGTGCGTAGAGCTCAGTCATGATGAACACACGTTGTTGTATTACTGTGTTGGCTCAATTTAAATGGGATACACCCCGCTACGTCACACACCCCACCGCTCCCTCACTATAGCCTTAGCCTAAGTCGTTCAACATTTCATTCAATTATTTTAAGTACACAACGCGCATTTTAATACTGTTATTACCTAGAACAATTTTTGACGATTTTGACTGAAAACTGATAGATACAATTAAGATATTAATTTGACTATAAGAAATATGTTATTAAAGTTTTTAATGACGTTTTCGTTCTTGTCAATTGTGATGACTGTCAACTAACCTCTTGAATTATGTTCAAAATACCTCAAATATAAATGTTAATGTAAGAGTACCCGTATAACCATGTGGTGGCGATGTAACAATATCTACCACTCTATATTGTTCTGTGGGTGTCGTAAGAGTCGACAGGAGATGCGCAGCAGCATCTAACAACTCAATATAATAAAAACTGTGATTGCCAAGCCACTTGCTAAACAAGGCAACTATGGCAACCATCCCCCCTATGAGGCGATCTAGGGGGAGGCCTGTGTTCAACAGTAAAGGTTTAAATAAGCTGTAATGGTAAGAATAAAATAGAGGCTTTTCTTACCTAAATGCTGATGGACATTTGTCACATTTATACGGCCGCATATCACTGTGGCATAATTTATGAGCTTTAAGATTGCTTTTAGTGCTCAGAAACTTGCCGCAAACTTCACACTGATGTGGCAGCTTACTCTCCGGTACCTGCTTTTCACCATCTAATGTATTTTCATCGCCTAGGATAGAAAATCAATTAAAATATTATTTGGTAATCTTGTTATCTAATTTGAAGTATTTACTTACTCTATGACTATCATAAGTCCACTGCTGAACATAGGCCTCCCCCATAAATTGCTATAAAGTATGGTCCTGATCCAATTGCATCCATCCACTGGTTACTCTATGTCTATGGTAGTAATATTTAAATGTTGAAAACATGAAAGTAATGGAAGAACAGTATTTTTGTTTTCCTCTTCCTTTTTATAAAAAGGACATAGTATGAACTTATGATCCACCTGACGGTAAATGAATACTGTAGTCCATAGACACCTGTAGCCAACTTAGGACAAAGGTTTCATTTTTTATTTTTTTTTTAAACTGGCTTTACGTCTCTGGGTTCTAGCCCTTCTGAGCCTGAAGGTTTCAGATGCGTTGTCACCTCTGAGGGCTAACAACGAATGCCTCACAGACTGTAATTATAATGGCTTTCTATACCCTTCGTAATGGAACACGGCAGTGCAAGCAGTACTATTTGGCAGCAGTACCTACTCAGACGAAATTCTAGGTAGAAAAGGGGTCCTACCACCTAGCCATTTCCATTATTAATTAATGAGGGTATCCATGACTTTTTCTGCAACCAGGGCGGCGCCATTAGAAAGTGACGTATAATATTTGACAGATTTCATAGCGGGGAAGTTAATTTGTTCGGAAAATGTAAAAGTTATTGGTTGTTTCTGTACTATTAGCTATATTTTATATTAATAACATTAAAAATAAATAACCAAACCACTACTATTCATAAAAGTAGAAAAATTAAAAAAAAAAACTCAAAATGTGCATAAAATTACCACTGACGCATTGTTTTGTGTATTAATATAATACTCTAGAAACTGGTAAACTTTTATTAAAAAAACAACTTCTCAATTAAATTACATTGTGTAACAAAAACACTTTACCTCAGTGAGCACGTTGATATTCAAAAAGCTATGGCAATTATTATGTAAGAGGTAAAAGATCACTACTTACTTTTTCTTTTCCTTCCTTTCTTCTTTTCAGGTCTATTTTCACTGTGTATGACATCTGTATACAAAAAAAAACATAAATAACATATAACAAGTGGTAAAATTAAAAAAATTGTACAACCAACTTCAATATAAATTATTGAGGATAACTCAAAAACTACTGGTCATACCATGATCAAATTTATATGGGACCACTTGGGAAATATACCCTTTGAAACAAAAAAAGAATTTTCTAAATCGGTTCTGGCGTCTTCGAGAAATCGATGAACATACATAAAAAAAAGACTTCGAAGAATTGAGAACCTCCTCCTTTTTTAAGTCGGTTGAAAAATAGAACAAATTTCCATATAAAATTAATAGGAACATTACCTTTCAACAATTTTTTTGACTTGATTTCTCCAAGCAACATATCATCTTCTCCATCCCAACAACTGTCTTCTGCATCTTCATCTTTGCAAACTGGCTCTGAACAGTTAAATTTACTTGTTATAAAGAAAAAAATGTGTATACCTAACATCACTGTATAGTGACGGCATATTAACAGCAAATCGACATCCCCATATCATCCTTTGGCTGTTATAAGAGGTAACAGAGTGAAACTGAATAGGAAGTGGGCAGCAGCATCTTCTTTCCAATAAAAAATGTATTTGCTGAACTTTAACCTCTCAGTATATTTACAAAAACAAAGATAGTTTTAGTAAAAAAAGTGATACACACTCTGTAAACACTAGGAACAAACACAAGCTAGAATATACAAGGTATCTCTATTACCAAGTTTAAATATTTAATTGAACAAAAGCTGTATAAAAATAAAAGGGGAATGAGGTGGTCGCTTCCAAAATAAAGCTGTTTCTAAAATAAATTTTGTAAACAGTTTGTAATAATTTATATTGTAAAATTTATTTAAAAAAAAGTCCCGCTGGGTTTCTTGCTGGTTCTTCCCAGGACAGAGGATTTTATCAAACCAGTGGTGAAAAAATAACTTTCAATAAGAATTACTTGTGATCAATATGGAATAAAAAATTATTCTATTCTATTCTGCTAACAAGCAGGTTAGCAAATACATTAACGTATATCCCAAACATTTATCCTCCATATGAGGTAATTTATTATTATTAGAATTATTACTACACCCATGGAGGAAGAGGGGGTAGCAGATTCTGACTTCAATACCATTTGGCCGGAATATATATAGGGCTCCGCTCCATCTAAGAGTCATCTGGATAGGTACCCTCTTACCTATTTGTGCCACCAAACAGCAGTACATGCACTGATGTGTTCTGATCGGAAGGGTATTGAGAGCCAGGATATTTGATGACACCATGGCACAGTGGCTTAGCAATGAGTTGCAGCGCTGAGAGCCGAAAGTTCGAATCCCGCACAGAACAATTATTTGTATGGCTTACAAATAATTATTCCGGTTCTCTAAAATCCTAGTGTGAGGGTAATGTAAATAAAAAAGAAAAGACAAATAAATCAAATCTAAATGTCATAAATAATAAACTACCAAACCGAACTAAAAAGCAGAAAATAATTTTCAATAACAATTCATGTTATTGTAAAAAAGCGTAAGGTGCTTTTCCAGATATTTTTATGATAATGCTAATTTTACAAATATCTACAAAAATATTAACAACAAATGACATCAAGCACCCCCACGCTTTTTTACAATAAAATGATTTTATGTTAATCACTATTTTTCTTATTTTAAACTTATTCTATCTATTGAAAATTATTTACGACTTTTTAGTTGTGTTGTTTTAGCATGTTTTTTTTTATAGGATAAGGGTGACAAACGAGCACACAGTCCACCCGATGGTAAGTGGTTGCTTCGGCCCATAGACATCTACATCTATCTTCAATTACGAATCAAAATGCAGATGCGTTGTCACCCGTGAGGACTAAGATGGAATACCTCATTTCCAGTAAAAAGGGTCTCCGGTTCTCTACACTCACCATACGAAACACAGCAGCGTTAAGCTGCTATTTTACGCTGGTATTCTGTGAGAGCGTGGTCCTTCCCCGGTCGAGCCGACCCATTCGTGCTACAACTATACTACTAATATAGCTGCAGCATGCCTCTACCACATATGTTTTCCTGTGTCCAGCAGTGGGACGTATATAGGCTGTAAATTTAACTTTTAACTTATATTGTTATCAGTCCTTGATAAGTGTGGGAAGTTTCAAATCAATCAGATGGGGATGAAAATCACATTCAAAAATTCCGTTACATAGTTACATAGATACATATCAAGCTAATAAAAGCTTTATAAAAAGTACAATTACAGGCTATGAGATGACATTCAACATTCTTTGTTTGATGTTGGTTGTAGGCAGGGCTGCCAGATGTACGATTTAAATCGTACTTACTACGATTTTTTAGCGATTTTACTCATGTACGACCGCTAGACCAAGATCGTACGGAAAATGTACGACTTTTAAAGATTATTTAAATATTTGGAAACATTTCATATACTTAGCAACATTTCATAATGAAACGTACGTGCCCCATCGACAAGTATAAGTTATGTTCGGGGAATTCCTCAACAATCTCATGAGTGCCTAGATCTTTTACTTGAATGAAGACCTTTTGTACAATTACATAAAGACAGTATTTGTTTGAATTATTATAAAAATAATTATTTTTCTCTTTCGGTAATTACTGCGACTTGTCAAAAACCTGTTTTTCTTATCAGTTTAGTCTCGTTCTGTATCGTGTCCCGAGTTCTTTTTTGGGTTAATTTAATTAGTTCAAGCAAGAATGAGTAAACCTACCAATGCTGCTTCCAATAATTACAGAAATAAAGAACTTTAATTACTACCACTCATGATACTTGTCCCTAGAGTAGTAAACCCCGACGACATTCAAACAATCCAGGCAATAGATGATGAGTGGTGCAGTTTTCCCAACATCTTAAATAAAATTGACTTAAATTTAAATATGGTCAAGTTTTGGTGTGTCATCAAAAAATCGTTTGAAAATTATAAAACACTGGCTCAATTCGCTTTGAATTTGTTATGTTTGCCCCATTCTAGCGCCGATTGTGAACAAGCATTTAATGAATTTAATTTAATTAAAATAAAACTTATAAAACAGTTTACCCAATGAAACACTGAATAATAAGAAGAAACGAAAATTGTACGAAGTTTAAGCCAACAGAAGAAATGTTGAAAATGACGTCCTCAACAAATTGGTACAACTATAATAAGTGATTGTAATATATTTTTGAACATCACTTAACAAATTTTTGTTAGTTTGAATAAGAGCTGTTTACTTTTAGATTGTACGAATTTTTTATTTCAAAATCTCCCTGACATACGACTTTTTTATATTTGGCGTACAATCACTCGTTTTTTCCATCTGGCAGCCCTGGTTGCAGGTGCCCATGAACATCAGTAACTATTAAGCATCAGGTAAGTTTGTTTCACTTTTATTTTATAAGCCAAATAAAATTGCTAATTAACAGAAAGAAGAATTATGAGATATTATAGAATATAATTAACTTAACATAATTAGTATATTGCTGTATATTATATAGATTGGTAATGGTAACTACCATTACATTCTAATAAAGTACACTGCTTAACATAGGCCTACCCATAGATATAATTAGTTCTATTCTAATTTCTGTAATTTTTTTGAAAAATTGAGGTTCATCCCTTTGTGGCGTCAACTATGTACTATGACTTTGAACATAGTTGCCATGTTTGGCAAGCAGGTTGGCAACAGCAGTTTTTTATTTTTAACCTTTATTAGAAAGATCTTCTTAGCCTTTATTAGCCATCTTCTGATGGCTAGAAGTGTCTTTCTAATAAAGAAGTGGAAAACACCACTATTGACTCTTACGACATCCACATCATATGGCGTACTATTCTTACACCGCCACTAAATGGTAATAACCTAATTATGTCATATTAAAATAGATAATGTCTTACCAAGTTTGATCTCGTCATTTAATTCCCTTAAATTAGAATGCATAACATTATCTTCTGGAGTATGTGTAATTTGAGATTCTTTTTTTACATTAACATGTACATTTTGATGCATTTCCGGATTTAAATCTTCATCCTTGATTTCTGATTCTATGTAATCACCATTCCAGTCCTCCAAAATAGGTTTATAATCCAAGTGAGATCTAAGTTTCTTGTCACTCTCCTCACATTGTATGTTGAATGCATACACTCGTTTAAGCTGCCTACTACACTCTTTGCAGATTAATCTAGGTAATCCATCATCTTTACATGGCTAGAAAAATTGAGATTAGTAAAAACGGGACTGTGAAATAAGAGAATAAGATAAATGCAGTAAATAGAGTTGAGGGTAAGAAATTATGTCAGTTATTCACCTAAGTTTAAATTACTATATTTTCCACGAACCTTTAGTTTTGTACAATTCGAAAGCATTTCTGCGTATAAAGTCTTTCTTTTAACAGAATAACTTGTGTAAATATCATATGTTTCTTTGCTACTAGATTCTAGACAAATTCGACAAATTCGTTGAAAATCCATCTTAATAAATAATATACTGTTATTTTATGTTTTACACGATGTAGAGCTTCTCACTGGTTTATATAACTTTTATATACTCATTATTCTTATTTTTTATTATGTATAATTCTTAATTTGTATTTTGTGAATTTGAAGTTTTCTTTTTCTTGTATAAACAATGTACAATAAAAATAAACTGTGATTTGTGGTTATCATTCATCATCACAGAATACTTTACTCCTAGTTCATCATTCATTCATCATCTGTCAACTAGATCGTAGACAGTAGAGGCGGCCGATAGAAACCGTATACTCAAAGAGGTGGGCGATGCAAACCGTATACTGATTCGAAATCTATATATTGGTACAATACCCAAAAACCGCTTACTGGTTCGTTTCAAAAGTATGTATTACAAAATCTGATATTTGCGTACCACCGTTATGCCTATATCGCTTCGCATCGTTCGGTGGCTTGATTCATCGTATGCGACAGAGCGCGAGCGATATAGGTGTTATACTGATTCTTTCGAAAACTATGTATTACAAAATCTGATATTTGCGTACCGCCGCGATGCCTATATTACAGAGCGCTAGCGATATAGGTATTAAAGTTTAATTTCTGTTGCCTAATAATGATACATTTCAAATGTCATTGTTTTTTAAAGCCTAAAATCGAGTGCATATTATATTACTTTGTTTAGAATTTTCAATTTATTTTTTGATCTACCCGAATAAATGTAGTGGAAAGAGAAAGTTGCGCTTTTTATTATTTTAAATATCTTTTATGTTCTAAATAAATAATAAAGACACTGTAAATATCTACTATTTTAATTGAACTATTTATAACTAATTAGTTAATATAATATGAAAACTATTTTCAAAAAAGAATAATCGACTTTTATGAAGATTAAGTTAATAAAATATAATCAAAATTGGTTAATTGGTTTTTTTAGAATTCAGAAAATCGCAAACATATATAATATGTACGTACATACATACGGGTCGAATAAAGACCTTCCTTTTTTTGAAGTTGGTTTCAACAGCGTTTCGGAGTAGAAAATATAAACGCGTGCGCAGAATATCTAGATATTGAAGTATATAGTTTTGATATCAGATATTGAGATTCAAAATCTGATATAGATACGATTCTCAGAAAACGCGATACGACCCAGGCCTACTCAATACTGATACGAAGTCGCAGGAATCAGCTATTGAATTTATTAGCCATAGTTATTAGCATTTATGTACCTACATAAATATGTTATTTACAGTCATCGATCATAGACATAGTATCTTATAGACTAAACATTCAGTGACGTCATCAGCGTGTGAAAGGAATGCACGTATATAGTTAGACATAAGAGTAAGGGAGAAGCAAACCTATATTTCTTGTCTTTTTCTAGGTATACGTTTTTGATTGTTTTCCCTCCTTTATTTGACATTAACGATGTCAAGCTCTTTTGAATAATATTGATATTATAAGCAAACAGGTAATTGAAGTAAGTGTTTTTGTGGGTGTTAGTTATTAGGTAAGGTGAAAAAGATGGTAAGTTGTAGCATTTTAGGATGCAACAGCATCAGTCAACGAAAAATTGATAATATTACCTTTCATCGGTAAGTTTTCTTTTGTGCTTACATTTGCTACTTGTACTGATTAATATCTATTGTTTTGAATATAAAGTGTAACATTTCATGTTTTTAATGAACTTTGTGATGTATTTTGTCAAATATTTGGACTCCCAAATTGTAAATTCTTCATGATAATGCTCCTTAATTTGGACGGTCATTCGAAAGCTTAAAGTCATAACAAACGTGTACTTTTTGATTTGGTAGGATTATAGAAACTTTAGGGATATCAGCGAGTACAATAATGTTTTCGCATTGTTCAATAATAATTGTTATTGTGATTAGTAGTTATGTCCATAAATATGAATCACATAATGTTATACATATACATACGCTTTTATGTTCAGCTTTAAAGGAAACTCCTTATTGCCCTACAACTCTTCAGTCATTTTCCATATTACATAGACGTCACAAATAATATGTAAGTATCAACCTGAAAACACGTTTGGATTCAAGTACATAAGTATTAGACAAATTATATTTAATTTCACAAAATATATATTGCCTGAAATCAGATGCACAAAACTTTATTGCATTACATGAATTCTATTATACATTAGCAACAATTACATTACAATATTTATTAAAAAAAATATGTCATGCTAATATAAATATAGCTAAAATAATAAATAAGTCTTAATCTTAAGGTACACAATAACACAACAACATAAGATAATATTCTCAATTAATGATGTAGAAAAAATTTGATGATAATATACTTACCGTTACCATTAGTCAGTATCAAAAGTCAAAAGTTATAGGTTTTGTGATAGTTGACTAGCTTGGCAGGAGAATTGGCAACTGCTGTTATTTGGAGATAAACTGTGTGGGAGGTCTATGTTCAGCAGTGGAGGACATTTCTTAGGCTGTAAATGTATTAATTAACAATATCTAAAGCTTAATATGTACTTAATTTTTTTAAATGTTTGGTATGAATAATATTATCATTACATTTACATATACTTGCTATTTAATTCAATCAATTGATATTGTTTTAATTGTTATAGGTATTGTATTTATGCACAGATACACATACTTGATTTTTTTGTTAAATACCTTGATATAAAAGTGTACTATATATTTAATATATTAATTTCTTTTAAATATATTATTTCACAGCTTTCCTAAGGAATCAGCTATCCGTAACTGTTGGATAATCACTACTGGTAGTGATTATAGGTAACCAATAAAACTTAGCAGTGTATGCTCAAAACATTTTAAGCCTCATTGTTTTAGATGGACTAAATATGCTTAACTTATGTAATTTATTATATAATTAAGATAATTTTTTTAAATGTTATAATTTCTTGTTGTATCTTGTTGTTTCTCCATAAGTGGTATAAGTTTGATCTTGTTGGTAGTTATGATTTTTGACATTGTTCTGTATGTATTAAAAATTGACTAGCATTGCATGTTTTATATTCAAATGCTGATATTCTGTATTATTATGACTTGTGATAATTGGGTGGCATGACAATGACAAAATATTTACTTATAGATGTATTGATTAAACATGAATCCTCATTTACAAATGTTGGAACTTTATCTGTACTATCATGTTTTGTGCAAATAAAGATTTAAATAAAAGAAATAAATAAGTAATTTAAAGTCCTGACCTAAATATACAAATGAATAATTTATTATGCAATAATAATTGTAAAACTGACTGGGAATGCCTACCAATGGGACATTTAGTCCACCCTTATCCCTTTTATAAAGGTTTTATAAACATTAATCTGTAAATAAATTAAGAAATAAATGTAATAATTATGATAATTTCTGTTTAATTGTCATAAATAATGTAATAAAGATGTTTTTGACAAGAGATAAATATTACCTATCTAAGTATAGTTTAGGAGTTGTACCTTATTATTTATATCATTAGAATATATTATATACAAGGCAAATTATATATATATATATATATATATATATATATATATATATATATATATATTATTTGCCCCTCCCTTCTAAAGCTCCCTTCTAATCCAATTCTAGCGACCAGCACCCAAGAATTTCTGCCATGCAAAAGTATAAATCAAGTTTACAAACGCACAGTAGTACACTGTGGTAATCAAACAAAAGAGTGACAAGAATTACAACGAAGAATTACAAGGAAAGAAGACAATTTTTTTTTTAAATTTGTTGTTTATTAATGTGATCAAAAATTTATAATTAATCGTTTGTTTATTTTGATTTTATTGAATTATATTTAATATATAATTGTGTTTTCATTTCTTTTACTTAATGTAACATTGTTAATATTACTAAATGTTGTGTAAGTACACAAAAGTTAGTTCTTTTTCTTTTTTAAATTTCAATATATTTTCATTTAAATATAATACCTTTACAGTCTATCAAAAGTCCACTGTTGAACATAAACATGATTATAGTTATTTGGCATAGTTTCAACGCTTGGAAAGCGGGGTGTCAACCACTGTTTTCTTTTATTTAGCTGTTATCAGGACAATGCTGCTGTTTATCTTCTTTGATGTTTCCCTATGTCGCCTCATACAACACCCATGGAATGATATGAGATAGCAGATAATCTTACACTGCATGGTAAATTAAAATAGAATATTATAAAACATTCTTTTTTATTTTATATACGAACATATTACAAAAACAAACCCTTTGTTGATGCTTTACAACATATATTAACTAAACATTTTACCACCTTAACCATTAGGTAACATGATTAAGCCACCTAACCATAAGTAAGTCACCTAAAAAAGGCCTTCCATAGATATCCTCATAGGATGACTTTTGCCATAGTTGCCACGCCTGCGTGAAAATATGTGTTATGCTGGTTGGCCACCGCAGTTATTTATTATTTTAAGTTTTCATCGGGAAAGTGCTGCTGCCTCATCCCCATCTTGTATCATTGCTTACGACGTGGGGTAATATCATTCCATATATAGACAAATTCTCTTGTACGCCACAACTTGCCGCACACAAGACACTAACTTAGCAAAACATGCAGGACATCGCGGGAGTAGGCTCATAACCGTGTTTTGTACTACAAAACCTAAGTGGAAACCCCTTCCTTTCGAAGGTCTGTGTTCAGCACTGAACTTGTGATGGAATGGTATGTTAAAACATTATTGTATTTTTTTTTGTAAAAACAAAACTTGACACAAGGAAATTTTTGTTTATTATTTAATATTTTTATTCTCAATTAATATTTAAGTACATACATAACATATTGTTATTTATTAGCGATATCACACTTTGTACTATTAGCGCCTTCAACCCTTGCTGTCGAAATCCAAAGAGTTATTGAATGTCCAGTAAAATCGTCGATGCGCCGTTGAATACAGAATGATGATTCTGTTTTTACGCCATTTCCGCCCGTAGTTTTTAGTCACAGAATGTATTTTCAAGAGAAATTAATTAATCATCTGAATTATAAAAGAACATTTTTTTATGGTAACAATTAAGTTTTTTGTATGAATGTAAGTGCTGTGAATATAAATAAACCCATAACGGGGGAAATGGAACAATATCTGGTAACCCAGTAAAAGTACCTCCCGCCTATTTCTATCTCAAAAGCATACGCGAATGCTTTATCTAGTCAATCCTCTATCTACGTCATCGATATGTAGGTAAAGCAAATTGAACTAAATTTACTTAACCGAAACCGAGTTCAAAACTTTAAAAGAAGATTAAAACTACGATTAACTATCTGCATTAGCTTCAAAAAAATAAAATAATATATAATATATATACACATCTATAATTCTGATTTGCATTGAATAGGTACGAGCTTGTATATATATAGATGTCAGTGGGTAAAAGTAACTACAAAATCTTGGTATCATTATTGTAAGTTGTTTGCTTTAGGTACTTGAGACTTGCTTCTAGCTTTGTGACTCCCGATTATATTAGTTTATCTATGCTTTATACGCTTAGCCATAGACTTAGTATCTCACATAGAAATATATACCTCTGGAGAGGGCATATTCCACTATAGAAATAATAGTTATACAAATATCTACAATATCGACACACACTTGTCAAAAACAGTTTTGTCTCTTTTTAACAAAGCAGTAGCTGCAATAGAAAAGAGAGACATCTACAGTTTGTAAAGTGCTTATTTTGGTAATACTTTCATGTGACGTCATTAGCTCATCCATTCGTGACTGCGCCGCCATGTTAAGTGCCAAGTTTTGAGGTAGATCTGCTGTCAAACTATCAAAAAGCAGTGAAATAGTGTCGTACACTCTACATACATCATCTATGGTATCGATAGAAATTATTTTGATAAATTAATTTTGTTCAGAAATGAATATAAAATTATAATAATAGTTTATAAATCCTGGATATCATATTTCATCCACCGTTTCATAACCATGCCAGATTTTTGAATTTTTAATGAACAAAATTAATATACCTGCGAAAATAATAATATTTTTCATTTAAAATCTGAATAAAAAAATTAAATGATATCTGACAGGACCGAACATGCTTATTTAACTTACCATTTGTGATAAATTATGTGCAGAACGTTTCTATATACCAATTAATAATAAATAAGTATTGATTTTCTTCTCTTCTTCTTCTACTTAACGTTTATCCCGGTTGCTCATCCCGCCCAGCGCGAGAGAACCCAGGGTCCGCTTTTCTACACTTCCTCCTCCACTTTGCCCGGTCTTCAGTGTCCCTCGCAACTAGCCCTTTGGCGCGCATGTCATCCTGCACGTCATCAAGCCAGCGTTTCTTGGGCCGTCCTCTACTCCTGGTACCAGGTAGGGTCCTGTCTAGGAATTTGTTTCCCACGTAGCTTGCCGGTCGTCGTAAGACGTGACCGTATCAGCGGAGGCGACTTTTCTGTAGCTTGTCAGCAATGTCACGGACATGGAGGCTGCCGTGGATGTATGTATTCCGTACACGGTCTTTCCGCGTGACGCCACACATCCACCGCAGCATGTTCATCTCCGTGACATGCAACAACTGCCGGTGTCGCTCCAGCACCGGCCACGCCTCACTGCCGTACGTAAGGTCAGGCCTTATGATAGTCTTATAGACCTGTCCCTTCAGCTTGACCGGCATTTTGGGGTCACAAATGACACCCGTCACCTCGCGCTATTTCGCCCAAGCCGCTGATATACGGGCCTTGATGTCGCGATCGATGTCCCCGGACGCGTCAAGCACAGATCCGAGGTACCTGAAGTTGTCCGTGCGCACGACGGTGTCGTCGCCTATACGGAGAGACGTCAGATCTGTGCTGTTGCAGGCCATATACTCCGTCTTCGCCACGTTTAGCTTCAGCCCGCCGTTTTCAAGCGCCTCCATCCATGCGTGCACGCGTCTGGTGAGCCGTCCTTTGTCCTCATCTACCGGTGCGATATCATCAGCGTACATAAGCAGCCAAGGCTGTGGTAGTTTCTGTACGTATTGATAAGTATTGATTTTAAAAACAGTTTATTTAATTTTTACTCAACTAGTCATTATTATTTTATATTAAAAATACTATAATATGGGATTACAATATGAAATCAAGGATCTCCATCCCATCTCCATACATTTGTTTACTGTACAATATTATTGTAAAGTAAACAAAGGTATTTGGTATACAAGCAAAAATATTCATTTTCCCAATACTTTGTCAATATTGATTTTTATTGTGTGCCTTATAACTTTTTTACTTTGTTCACATTGATATAAAACAAAACGTGTGTATGTACTTGTACGCACGTAAGAAGTTATACTTCTTTAGCGTAACAAAACAAAAATAACTATAATAAAACACGTTTTATACACTCATATATATTTGAATAACTACCTCGAATAAAGTTATCAGTTCTCCCAACTTACCAATTGAAGTTGTAAAAAATTCACACTCATCATTTTTCTCAAACGCGCCAAAAGAAGTATAACTTCAAAACTTGAGTAAGGACTTAGCGCACTCAGAACATTGTTAGTTGCAAGTTAGCTGCATGGATACTTAACTCATTGTTTGACTGTGTACCTAACACAAAAAATCTGTAGCAGTGTGCATTGCGTAAGTGTACATATGCGGTGAAGCCTCATGAAGCAACGAGATTTAAGGGATAGCAATCCAAAACTAATTTATCAACCTAACAATATCCTTTGCTTCATGTGATTGAAAAATTCGTCTGCTCGACTACAAAAACCACGCAATGGATATTGTTAAACACTCAAATTGATATGGTTTGCCATTTTAGGTGTGTTATGCAATTAGGCTATGGATTTAATTTCTATAATTATATGAAATAAGAACAAACTCATATTAGTAAAAATGTCGATATCAGCTGCCCATATAGCTGAGTTACAACCCTATAAAAGGCGGCCATTTTATGCGCCAGATTTGTTTAGGTAGTCACGCTAATTCTGTAGGTAGGCCCAGTCCATATACTTCTAATGCCTCATCCACACGCTTGGCAAACAACGGCGAACAGCAATCACCAAACAGCAATCTCGAACGTGTGGATGGTTGTTCGCCTGTTTGTTTGTATGTGATTGCCAGTGATCGGCGTTAGTGTCAGTGTTTATGCACCGATCAAAGGGTGTTCGACAAAGGTGTTTGCGATGTATCCACACGTTTGGCGATCAGTCAGTAGTATGCGCGAGCTTGCGGCTTGCGGGCGGCGGAAGGAGTTACTAGTGGCTATTATTATTATACTCTACGCCAATGTTACCAATCCGAAATTGGTGGCGGAGGTAAATTTGATTTCAGAAGTTGAGTTTCCTAACAATTCTACTTCGAAAAGTTAGTAGATCTACCACCTATATTTTTTTAAGTTTTCTAGAGATCTATTAGATTTATTTTATTAGACTATTGGGTAACAAATATTTCACCTCTTTTTATAAGGAGCCCCGTGTGAAAGCAGGATCATTGATCATTAATTCCCTAAATAAAATCCGAAAAAATTATATAAGATTAGTATATCCTATGTATCGATAAGTTTAGTATATCTTGATTTAATAGTTTTTAGACTTTCGTAGTTACACAACACAACTTATAGTTTCGTCATGTGCGTCCGTCTAGGTGCTACAAATTAGTAATTTTGCAAAGTTATAAATATTAATCATGCCTAGAAAACTGTGAAATAATATCTTAAAAACATTTTTATTTTGGGTACTTCCCATACAAGTAAATGTAGGATGATTTTTTTACGTGTCGATTCTATCATGTGGAGTATCGTTGGATAGGTCTTTCAAAAACATTGGGGGTGTTCAACAACATCTTTTCGATTCAGGGGTCCGTTTGTGAAATATTTTGCTTTAAAGTGGTATTTTTCATTAGAGTTATGTCCCCCCCCCCCCTCTCTACCAACTTAACCGATATTTATCGAAATGTGAAAAGTATACCCAATAGTAGTTTATATAATACAGTTAAAAGGAAAACTATCACAGCTAAGTAGAATCAAGAAGTTAATGAGTAATAGTTGACCAACTTATGAAATACACTTGGATTAGTAAAAATTTCTTTACATTTTCATAGAAAAGACCTAAAACTAGCTGCATTAATAACTTTGTAATGTTATTGTAAGCTGTAAAAATAAACATTTTTTGAAGAAAACGGGGCATATGCATTACTACTATTAGTTTTAGCGAAGCGCTTTAAAATAATATATCATTTTCATTCCATAAAAAATAAACAATTGTGCGTTTTGAAAATATTGCTATTAAAGTGTATAAGGCGCTTCGAATAAAGAGATAATCTATGTTAAAAGTAAATAGATTCAATATAATGTCAAACGAAAGTTCGGGGTTCGATTCCCCGGTCAAAAATTAATTTCATAAAAGTTAGTTTTTAGATTAATTTAGAGTAACGTGTTACATAATAATCAGCTCTGCAATACGAATAAAAGCGTTCAAACCAAACTTATTTCAACCTGAAGACAATTTATAGCAGGGATAATTAACAATTCATTTGAGATTCTATGGTAAATAAATTCTTTAATACAATAACCTTGAGAGCAATTCATATTGCCTTATTTTTAAATAAAAATAGAAACCCGAAATTAATCGCTGCCACAAGCTCGTCATCCGTCATGTTTGCCTATCCGGAATATACTAGCACGTTCACCAAGCGTGTGGATGCCGTGTATGTGTTGGGTGAATGTGGTCGGTGTTTGTTCGTGAATGGTGTTTGTGGCAAACACCAAGCGTGTGGAGGCGCCATTAGTCAGTGGTATCTCAATTCTCTATCTACGCGCTTATAGCTTAGGTTTAGCGCTTACGTTTGTCTATGACAGCAGAAATCAAAATGTCGACAGAATGTTTTGATTAAATGTTGAAGCTTGAGGAAAAACTCATAGCAATCATAATATACCTGATATATTAAAATAATTTGGGATTAGGATTGAGTATTTACTACTTATTACTAGTACGGAATCTGAACAATGTCGTCTTTACAAAAAACTATTATGAAAAATAAATTACCACCTCGAATGCCTAGGTCATCGGGAATAGCAAAGTAAGTGATAAAACTACATTTTCGTTTATTTTTAAATTAAATTAGATACACTATCGCATTATACTAATATTCTAAAAACAGAATATTGTAATACAATTATTACAACCATTTTATTTTTTAACTCCAAGTTGATTTTCAAGTTTGTAATTGTAACCTGCATTTTTGGACAAATATTTTTACAGACTAGCACCATTTGGCGCTGCCCGGCGTAAAGATTATACACCAGTATCGTGGAGACAATACTTCCAAAAATATGAAGATGTGGAGACGGAAGGTGGAACATTTAGAGTGTATCTTTCCCCTGAGCCAGATCATCCCTCAAGACCTCGCATAGTAACTCTGCATGGTGGTGGATACTCTGCATTAAGCTGGTCCTTGTTCACTGTATGTAAAATCATGCTTTTTTATACTGTTACTATAATTAGATGTAGAGCCATGCTGCAGCTATATTGTGTTTGTAATACAAATGGGTCGGCACGACCAGGGTATTACCATGCCCTCATAGAATACCAACGTAAAATAGCAGCTTAATGCTGCTGTGTTTCATATGGTGAGTGTAGATAACTGGAGACCCCTTTTTACTGGAAATAGGCATTCCATCTTAGTCCTCAAAGGTGACAACACATCTGTATTTTGATTCTTAATCAAAAATAAATGTAGATGTCTATGGGCCACAGCATCCACTTACAATCAGGTGGACTATGTGCTCCTTTGTCACCCATATTCTATATAAAAAAAGTCTTTTTTACAAATCTTGTGTTTTGATCTCATTAGTTATTGTATTGTGTGATGGGACAAGTGTGGAAAGGCAAAGAAAAGTGCTGTGTTTTAGAAAAGTGTTAGTAGATTTGTTAAAATACCAGTGTAAACACTTTCATATGGTAAATGATGTGACTAGAGATATAATTAATGAGAACAAGGCATGTCATCTACATTTGGCAGGTAGGTTGGATACTGCATTTTTTTATTTGTTATTAGGGAGTTGCTGCTGCCCATCTCCTGTTTTGTTTCCCACTGTTGCTTTGTTTTTTAACCGACTTCCAAAAAAGGAGGTGGTACTCAATTCGACTTTATTTTTTTATGTGTGCTACCTCAGAACTTATTTCTAGGTGAACTAATTTTGATGATTCTTTTTTTATTTAAAAGCTAGTGCACCTCATGTGTTCCCATATAAATTTGATCAAAATCTGACCAGTCGTTTTTGAGTTATACTTAATAATGCATATTTAATTAACTTTAATTACATTGATGATGTTCTCATTTTATTTATATTGAAGTTGGTTGTACAAAATTTTTAAGTTTACCACTTTTAGTACTCTATTATTCCTATATTTTCAGGAAGAAATAACAAATATGATCCACTGTCAAGTTGTATCCTTGGATATAAGAGGCCATGGTGAGACTAAAGTGAAAGATCCTGATGACTTAAACATTGATACATTAGTTAGGTGAGTCCTTTAGACAAAATTATGTTCATAATGCATATGCAATGAATGTTTTTTTTTTAACACGCAATTTAATCCAGAATATAGTTGAAATAAGGTTATACATAATTCACACATTTCGTCGCTAACGCCGCAAAGAGGCGAACCTCGATTTTTCAAAAAATTACAGGAGAGCAAGAAAACATTTATTATTCCCCGATTACTAGCTTTATTTCTTCAGAAAATTAATATCATTTGTAGTTTTCCATTAAGTCTAATGTATTTAATTTTCTGATACAGCTGTGGTACAGCTTATCAAAAGTCAACTGCTAAACATACTCCTCTCCCATAGATGGTGTGAGTAGGGGAGTTATTGTCATAGTTGTCATGCTTGGCATGTGCGTAGGCAATTTATTATGGTTGGCAGTTTTTCATTATTTTGTGTTATTGTGTTTCATTTACCATTGTCGCCTCTTACAATATCCACGAGTTAA